TCATCACTGAATGGTCAAGGAGAACTGCTGCAATATTTTCTCCGGAAAGACCCACTCATGATTATCGATCAATGTATTATGTTCAGTGAAAGAGTCGTTGTTCCAAAAACATTACACCAAAAGGTTCTGAAACGAATCCACAGCGGCTATTCCGCCATCAGCAAGATGAAATCGTTGGCTTTAAGTTATGCTGACTGGCCTAAAATGAATGATGATATCAAAACTACATGCCGCAATTATTCGTAGTGCCTACAAGCAGCCAAATGCAAAGAAATGTGAACCGCAACAATGGATAAAGCCTAATCGTTTCTGGGACAGGCTTCATGAGGATTTTGCTGACCCAGTATTTATCATTACTTTGTGTACATAGACTAACCTTGAAGTAAAGCGTTCTTTCCACATTTCTCACTTTTTTCTCTCGTGTTAAAGTTGTCGTATAGATTTAGCCTAGGGTTGTTAGAAGAGCTTAGGAAACCGATTCAAGCGTTCAGTCAGAATATTTATCAGAAATTTTGAAAGCTCAACTACAAAATATTACATCACTTTCCCTTTTTTGAATTAACATCGTTATCAAGTGTGATTATGATACGTTTATGATTGTTAGTCGTTTAATCAGATAAAAATTTTTAAATTGTTTGCGAAATGATAATTTAGTGAATAAAATATTAGATTACCGATCATTGAGTTGCAATTTCGAAATCCAATCATTTATTTATCGTTTGTATACCTTATAATTAATTTATCAAGGAACAAACCACATATTAGGGTTACACAACATTTGTTCATTTATCTAATTTCTCGTTACTCTATGATAGTTAAGGTACACTAGAGATTTTTCTTACCATTCCTGAATACTAGTTAATTACAAGTGATGATAAGTAAATAATTATTCCGTTAATGAAAAATAAAACAATTTGTTACTGTCCTTCAGAAAAACCTTGAACCAGTTTGCCAAAGGTACAATTGCAATTACTTAATTTCAATCAGTGTGATCTATGCAGTATGTGTTTTCACATTCTTATGTAACTGCCATTTCATTTGAAAATGCTGCAGATTACTGTGATCATTACTGTTAGAAGAGCATTGACATAGAAAAGTGAATACATGGTTTACAAAGTGAGTACTTGCATAGATTTTGCAAATAGTGTTTTCGCTTGGAGTGATATTAAATCAGTTTATAGGTGTGTTTATAAGTTTAAACACTGAAAAATGTCATATTAAGAATGGTATTTGACTAAACCTTGGACTTAAAACGCTTCTGATTATTTACATGTTAACGACATACAAGTTGTACATCAATATCACACATTAAGATAATGAACGCTTTAGATTTGATTTATTATATTCTGTTTTTAATAAAAATAAGCTTACCTCAGTAATGAAATATGTGATCTCTGTAGTTCGTAATATTTAAGATAAGTCAACAAATACAGTTTTACAAACGATAATTTACATCGCACGTTTGAATGTGACATCAGCTTATAATGAATTAATTGTGTTTAAATTCCTGAAGCAATTAAAAATATATTTTTGGGATACAAAACACGGTAGGAATTTAACAAAACAAAAACTAATTATTCCATTAGATATATCATGCTGGAAAGCCTTTATGGAATAAAAGATAACTATGAAATGTTGATATCATATATTATCCAATGAGCACATAAATGGGTTAAATAAAACAGCTAAGAATAAAACGTGTTCAACATTTCTACATATTTTGAATTTCAGAAACTTTTCAAAGCACATCAGACATTAGTCGTGTAGCTTGAAAATACTCATCCAATTTAATTCAACCCTTAAACTTAATTTTAATTCTTATATATAACCTTAACTATCAACCCACTCTTCAAACTAATGATTCATAAACCTAGTCGTTTTTTCCGTTCATTGTAATAAACAATTTAACATTCAAAGATCTATTATTTATGTCAAAACTGTTTATCTATTGTAATTTTACTATTTAATAAGAAATTTTTTAAACTAGATACTGTCCTCTGATTGGCTGACAAGCTGCCCAAGGTCGTCAATAAGACAGTTTCACCTTGTTCTTGTCTCATAACATACAAATGTGGATAACTGTGATGAGTGAAAAGTTGGTATTTTAATTTCGGCTAAGGGTACAAATCCTTCTCTCGGGAGGTAGGTGTAACTTATAAGATGGTGGAAAAGATTTGTAAGTGTAACATATATATATAGTCTTTGCTACAAAACAAAATGTTTTTCTTTAATATCTAGGCTCGTTTTGACGTCATAATATAGCATTCGAGTATGTTCTTTTTTCAAGCTGACAACTGTTTAGTAATTGTAATTTTTGTATATTATTGCAAAACTATGATAAATTGTAAATCAAACTATATATATTGTTAATGAAAACTAACTTGTATAAATTGGAATTTGATAAGAAGACGTTTAAAATGTTTAACCTAATAGTTGACAATTTAATGTTAAAATCAAATTAAAATATTATAGTTCTATAATATATTAAACCTCTATATGGAACGACAGAATGAACAATACGAGAAAGGAATGGAAAATATGAAAGAATATGGATGAAGGTTAAATATAATGATTTTGTAAATAGATTTTATATTTCCCTATAAATCATTAATAAGAAATATTATATTATGTAATAATGTAATCTATGAAAATGTTATTAATTTACATATCATTTTCTTTGATTAAAAACTAATATAAGTTATTTATATTATTTATTTGAACACATAAATATTAGTACAAGAGGGTACCAAATATATATGCGCCACACAAAACAATGAGAATGGGAAGAGAAAAAAAGAAGATAAGGAGCGTAAAAGAAAAAAACCAATAACGACCACATTAATGTAAGGTAGTGTAATAATAATAATAATAATAATAATAATAATGAGGGAAACGGAAAGGTACAACCAGAAGAAATCATTAAGATACAACCACTTTTTATGAAAATAAAAGGTTACAGCAGGATCGCCACTGGCTTCTATTCTGAGCCATATCTGATAACGTCTCTGACCACTGCGTCGCACCAGCCAGGGAGTCGTCAAGGCCCGAGAGTGGGCCCATCCTCCCTGCCTTTCGAAATGCTCTCACATGGCCACGCGTAAACAACCTTTGCCAGGAAAGTCCTACTCACTGCCTTCACGTGGCAGGGGTGTTGTTTACGAAAATGAGAAGACGAAAAGCGAATGTCCGGCGCTATAACCGGATCCCAAATCAATGGTGTACATGAGCTCCAGTATCCTGAGGGAACAAATGGCGTATGAATCAATTTCTTGGTCACCGGCTTCCATGGGACTGCATCTCCTCACGACGCTCCACTGCCTTGTGGGTTAGACCTTTATGTCAATGGCTCGAGGTGTGGCCCCCGAAGGAAACCACCTGCTTCAGTCTGGGCACCCGGGCAGTATCTCAGCCTACACACAAATTTAATGAAAATGATATTCACTGAAAATTCTATTCTCGCTTCGATTTACAGTCAAGCAATTAACATTATTATTGTTATTATTATCTACGTCATTTATTCACTGACTTTTACTCCCACTTTATGTATCCTTATTCTTCGACTTATACAGCAGCTCGCGTATGGTGGAAACTCGGTTCTATCTAAACGTTCTCGAGTTACTGTCTGGTTTAAAACTGTATGCTATCACCAAATATAAGTTGAAAATAATGGATTTTCTGTATTTTTCTAGTTTATATTTCGGTATTGAATCCCTTCTACTTTATATATTGTTTAATCATGAAGCCTTAAATGTCATTGGTTCGTCACTACCACTAAACCATTTTTAGGTTGCTAAATATACCATCTAAATTTTACTTTATATTTTGGTATTTACAGTAGATTTTATTATCCTAGAGATTTTCCAGCTTAATATTAGAAGTTACAATATATAAAACAGTATCATATTATAGGAGATTCCTTTGATAATATAATAAGAAAATTGTAGACCATTCTCTACTAGTATATGCAACCAACCTTAAGGTCGGAACCTGTTCAGTATAAACGACATTGGTAACTAACAAGCATAATAGGTTCAGATAATTTAAATACGTTTATCGATGTGGCTTACCTAACTAAATGATGATCTGTGATCAATAAATCTTTCTTTAATTGAAAAATATTAATTATGACAATGAACAATATTGTCTTACATAATTGATTCTTCTGAATAATGACAATATTTGATGGCAGAGGAAAGTTACTCTGTTATTCTGAATAATGTTTTACCTTGATCTTAAGTAATGTGTACAGTATAATGAAGATATACTCTTCAATAATTATTTTCATTGCGTACGAACTACATGAAGATACAATTTAATTATAATTATGAAATACATAACAAAGCATTGCGATAAAAAATTTTAGTGTACAGCGTCTCCAAAGCGTTTTTAACATCATATTAGTAACATAAATGTCTGGCAATGCAAATTGGAATTCTGTGGAGACAATTTAATGGATGTCACCATCTTTTAATGACGATTTTGACATATGTTACAAATGTCATTCCAAAGACTTCCACAATGTGCATAGAAACAAGACGTTTCTATCATCAAATGTTTTGATATGTTTTTCTTAAGGCTACATGTAAAGTAAAGCAGTTACTATTGCGAGCGAATCATTTACAACATCCATGAGAATGAATTAAATAATACATTCTGCTCTTCTGGTAGTTTTACTTAATAAAGAAAGCATTTAATAATCTTAACGCTATTCAATTCGTGTCCTGATTATTATCTTTTTAAAAGTTATGTCAAGCTTTTGTCAAATAATAATAATTTTATTGCTTTGGTGTTAGCCTATTTTCATCGACAACCTAGTATATAATGATTTGAAAACCAAATGACTTAAACGCTATATGGTTTGCATTAGCATATATCGAATGGTGTACAATGAACAAATACAATAATAATAATAATAAATTTGAATAAACATTTTATTAATCCACATTATGTACAACTATAAAGTAACTATCTTAATATTAAAACGTATTAATTTTTATTTTTCATTCTTTCAATGAATTTATCAATTGACAACTGTAATCTCTTGTAAACACTGCAAACGGAACAATTGGACCACACCAACTTTCGATAGCTAAAATTTTTTTAATCTGTAAACCTTTTACATTGCATACAGACAGTAAATGATCATCTGCTTGGTCAATCAATGATGATGTGATATGGAGGAGATTCTGTAAATAGGAATAACAAAAGTAGTAAGATTGTTATATGTATACGTGAAGACAACGGTAGAATTGAAATATTTCTTTATTTCCACGAAATACTACTTTAAATACAATAAAATAACACTACCGGTAACCGAGAGTAAGCTACTAGTAGACTCGATTCTCGATTGATATCCTATACACAAACTGAATTACGCTGTAGAAGATACACGATTAATGACCGAAAATAGAAAACCAGAGGACTGACTAGATAGTACTTTATTCAACACAATCACAAGTAGTCTACATTCAGTGAGTTTAAAGTAGAAATCATAATACGAAAAAAATCACAAACTAAACAGCTAGTGATCTACGTCAGAAAATTCATGCTCAATGACCAATCACATTCTCACTACATATATATATATATATATATATATATTGTGTATGATCAGCAAGTATATGAGAATGTTGAGATGGCAGAGTAGATTTGTTGCTCAGGTGAGTGATTTTGGCGGAGTTTTGTTCTCTAAGATGGATGGTTTAGTCGTGAAGCTTTCATCGTTCTTCTGAACGACATCTTCAACACAAACTTCAATTAGAAGTCAAGCATCTGAATTCCTCTACATATGACTCTTAGCTTGTTTTGTCGACCTTCAAGCCTCCTTATTTTGATTGTATCTCCAATTGATTTCATTCTTCTACAAATATAAGATAAAGAATCAAACAATCGGAGATACAATCTAAATATAGAAGTAAACAATATTAAGTTAAAAGTCAACAATAACCAATCAAGATTGAGGTCGTCAGGACAAGCTGTGAATTATATGTAGGGAAATTCGAACAATTCACTTCTACTTGATGTTTGTGCTGATGATATCGTTTAGAAGAACGATGAAAGCTCCACGACTAAACCATCCAGCTCAGAGAACAGAACTCTACCAAAAACATGAGAATGTTACTATTAATAAGATTAAATAACGCAACTAATATTAAGCCATTGTTAAATAGTGACTAATGAATTTTGAATAATACATATAAGTGAACAATAAGGTTTTACTTTAATATACAGTTAATCTAAACTAATTAATGAGAAGCTAGTAAACCCTTCAGGAAAACAAAAGAGCTTTTGCAAATAGTACAAAACTGGGAAAGTATTTATATACATCTAAGAAAATTATTTAACCAATCAAGGAATTTTATTACTCAATAGTAGTAATGAGACATTGTATAATCAGACATAATGAGCACAGTGGATAGTAAAACGACAGACGAACTAGTAATGTCAAGAATAATAACAGCTTGAATATTTCACCACAGGAAGTGAGTCAAAATTTGTGGAAATAAACTACCATTTCTATTGTTAATACTATACAACTAAGCCAACCAAAAATTAAGCATATCATTTAGTGGTTTAGAAAGAAGTGAACAAAATCTATATACATCTCTGCTCGATCCATATTCATCAAAATTATTTATCGTAAAACTTCAACTTATCCCAAATGGAATTCGATTTTGTCTCTTACATGAAGCGGAAGTCATTGGAATTTAATACCATATAACATCTGGGAACTTACTATCTGTACAGATATTTTACACATAAGTAGTTGTGTAGTCTATTTCATTATAATCAATGACACATAAATTAACAATACTATTGGTCAATAAATGCTTTTGTAAATTACAAGACAAGAATATTTTGATATTATGGATTTTAAACAATTTTAAGTAATTTTTTTCGAGCAAAGTAGTATATCTAGGGTATACAGTGTTATAACACGTTGATTTGGTCAATATTCACTATCACTGTAAAATTATGCCATGCACTATGAATCATATTTCAAGTGTCAAAACAAAAAAAAAACAATGGGAAATAGTTTGTCAAATGAACGCTTGCGAACATTATTTTTGTAAATGTTTAAAATGTTTGCGATGTGCAGTACTTGCTTCTATCATCTTCAATCAATAAGGTAGGCGTGTGACAAAAATGGGAATCTAACTTGTTTGTTTCTTTATTGAATATAAGTTTCCGCATCAAGATTTTTCAAAATTGAAATTTGTTTTCAATTTTACTGAAAACCTGTAACTATTTGGTAAAATTGAATTGATCCATTATATATATATATATATATATATATATATATATATATATATATATATATATATATATATATATATATATATATATATAATTGTAGCCCTAAACATCAAAAACGAGAAAATACAAACCATTACGAATAAAACTAATGCCCGTAGCTATCTAAACTCAATGAATTAAAAGTACGTTGTTTCATTCCCAGTGTGAACATGAACACTGGGACGCAGGTACATCCAGCTGATAAGTATCAAATGGGATAAAAACGAATGTCCTGGATTCTATTGCCAACTAATATTTGACATTTTCCACTCAATTTATTAAAAAAAAACACGATTGATTAATGAATATACCAGATGTTAACTAAAAAACTTTTTAAACTGGTATTCATGATATTGATGAATGTCATAAATAGTCGATTACTTTTTTTGAGGATGATGTTTAAATGTAATATAAATCGTAAACTGAATAAAAATATTCTGTATATTCTCCATAAATTAGTGAGTGAGTGAACTTAATGAAACAAGAGCATTTCTGAAATTTTTATTTTTACCTCTTTAGACATATTCCTTTCCATACGAAGATACGTAAATAATAGGTCAATTTGTAAACGTGGTTCGCAGAATGTATTATACGCTTCTCTATCATACAATATATTCCTAAAAGTAAAGAGTATAAAGGGAAAAAAGTATTCAATGAGTATATTTCTGTTGCATGAACAACGCTAACAGTAGAAGCAAGTATAATTTTAGAAAGATTCATTTAAACAAAACACAAAGTACCATGCCTCTTCATAAATAAATAAGATAAATAAACATGTAAATTTTTGGATATGGTTAGATCACTCTACATTAAGTTGGAGTTTTTGTGATACTTTCATTGTTCTTCTAAACAACATATTCGATATGTGCTTCAATGAAAAACACGAATTCCATTTTGCAGAACATTACTGCTATACCTTAACTATAGAGAAGAGCTTAAATTTTTCTAGCATGAGAAGAAAAAATTCGACAATCCCTCAAACGACTTCATCAATATTTCCTGTGATCTACAAAGAGGACAGATAAAACATCAGTAAAATAGACTTAGTGAGTCAGGTAGTAGGTAATTAGTTTTAGTAAAGACATATAACAAGACAATATTAAACTTTTCATTTTATTCGAAAATTTCAAAAACAAAAAGCCTTTTATTATTTTAAATATGGCTCAATGTATGTGATATTGTGTGTAACTCGGAGTTTTAATGGTACTCTCTTTTCTGTCATTTATTACTTCATAATATAATCTTACAAAGTAAATTCTATTTTTTGTGTTGAGCTGAACCAGATTTTATGTGTATCAAAGAAATAAATGAAATACATATTAACTATAAATTTGTTAATGATCTAGTTGTATTATGAAAGACCTCTAAGGATAGTTGTCCAATTAACAACCAACATGAATTGAATTTATATATACATTAACAAAAATAGTGAATTAACATACCGTTGACTTGATTCATATTCATTAATCATTAAATAATTCATTGATTTCATAATAGTTAACCAATTATTGCATAACCAATGTGTAGATTCATTAAATGTCAGATTATTACTTGAGTGAATTTTATTATGAATATTATTACTATTGATATTATTGTCTTTATTATTACTTTCATTTAACAATAACAATGGAACAATTTGTTTCAATAGTTTATGTAAAGTGATTAAATGAGTATTTGGATGATTACAAGGTAAAGAATTAGTTTGATATATGGATGATTTTAACCAAAAATTGATAACAGTACTCAGGATTGAACGAACTTCAGGTGATTCATCAAATAAGCCATGAAATATACAATCCAACAATCTTTTTGAGAAAAAAAACAACATACAGTGTAATATGGAAGGTTATGCATATTACAATTAAATAAGATGCAATATTGAGAGATATTAAACCATTGTTAGATTTGCAAACAAATACACAACCGAAAACCCAATCAATCATATGATTATCAAAATATTTTCAATATACTTACATTGATTCATCACTGAGTACTGGACAATTTGACGTTTGTCTAGTTCATTGTACTAATCGAATTACATAAAACAAACTGTTAAGTGACGCAGATTCAAATAACAAAAAGAACATTGATTCCTTTAAAATTGTATGTAAACTTTGTTGATGAGTAACAAATAGCACGAAATCTAGGTCGTGTTTCTTACTAACTACCTCCAACTATCTAAGATCGAAATATAGTGTACGCGATGTCGAATCAATTAGGATAGGGTCCATATTATAGCTTGGCCGACAGAATTCGGTAAGCATTACCAGTCTAAATAAACAAGGAATTGGTCACTACTCAGTGATCAATAAAATGTAAATATTTCAATCCTATGGAAGATCACTCGTTATTGGTGGTAACGGCTCTGATTGTGAAGCTGAGTGATGCATGATTAAATCATACAAGGAGTATTGGTTAGTTCAAAACTGTGAGTGTGAACCACCATGAATACTAGGTCCAAAGTGTCCTGTCGACTGCGTCCAGCCACCTAACATTTATTTAATATAAGGGATTTTTGAATTATTTTAATTTGAATAGTTCATTCAAAGTCCTAACTGGTGTTATGAAGTAATGAAGACCTAAACTCATGAATTAAATTATTTATTAATTAAATTATACTCCTCTAATTTTGTTGGTCCCTATCAGATATAGTTACTTAGTCGGATACACATATTGATATCCTCCTCTTTCACACAATATAAGAAAACGCAAAAATATTATTTTTATCCATCTAATCCTAATTTAGTTTATTTTTGTATTGGTTGTTTGAAGAGACTGATCAATTGCAGTTCTAAACATCAGTGAGAAATTTCAAACAACCAATACAAAAGTAGATTAAACTTTACCCCAATGCACAAGCTAGTAGCTTGTTAGTGGATAACGCGATGGTACGGTATTCCAGTTTCTGAGTAAACATCGATTCTGGGAAGTAGCAGGTGCATCCAGTTGATGAGTTCCAAATACGACAAAATGGGCGTCCCCGACTTCACTGCTAGCCACAGTCCATCGCTAACCCTAATTTAGTTTCAATAAAATTCTATTTGATTGGCTTGAAAAGAAACGAAATCATCATATGCCTACGCTTTCTTCTTAAAAAAGAAATAGACTATAAAATATTTTTCTTCTGATAGAAAAATTATACCATAAATTAGCATACAGAGAATATATACACAACAATTATACCTTTTACGTTGTGATATATTTAAAACTGATTTCAATAAATCAATCTGATTTGATATTGACGATGATTTTGTAGGATTGTCTGGAGGAAATTCCAACGTCCATAATTGTAAAGATTTTGAAGCTAAAATTCGCGATTCAGTTGAATGCTGATATTGTAAGCTATCACTTAGTAAAGTAAGCCATTGATCCATATAACTGTCATTAATGAATGTGAAAAAAAACGACAATTTATTTTAAAACAGACACAAAGAAAGACTATTCATTTTTTGTTCATCATGAAAATTAATATCAATACATGAAAACTTTTCAGTAGAACAATATAATTTTATAATAGTAATTATTTATCTAACGGCTACTAGCTTTTAAACGGATTACTATAATTGTAATTGAAAGCTACGATCTATAAAATCGATGGTGAACAGGTAGCTCACGACTTATAGTGAGTGAGTGTAGATCATGTCATACGGAAAATTGATTGAACATTGGAACGTGGACCGCTAGATTTCGGCTTCACAACCCAGTTATTATGCATATCGAAAGATTAGTTGAGTTTAAATTGGATCCAGTATAAAAACATGTATGTGACGTTTTGAAGAGTATCAAACTGAGAAGAAACAACCATTGTTTGTTTCCTGATTTCTAGTAGTTTTTTATGTGCGCTAACGTCTACTCACGAAAAGACCATCATAAATTCTTAATTTTTTTCAGGACAACTGTCAATGAAAATCTGTGCATAGTTGCTCCAGTCAATTAATTGGATTCTAAAGCATGAATTCCTAGGTGATATAAAAGTATCAGCAGCAAGACGTAAATGACTTCGGGTTACTGGTGTACACATATGAAAGGTTAAAAACTTAATTGAACAGTTGTCTGATGCTTTTTGCTTACTGATAATCCTGCAACTGATGTCAGTTCATGAAATAAAATATGCATACAACAATGTTACAAAAAAGGATGATTATGATTCACTAAAATATCTTATGTACAATCCGTTGGACTATTTTGAGATATGATAGAAAGGGAACGACAATACTCAAATTGATATTATAGGGAATCAATTCAAGTTGTTGAAAATCACATAACAATAGCAGATGGAAATCTACAACAGAGAAATTGAAAAATGAAACCACTAATGGCAAGAGTAAGAGAAAACTGTTTGAGTAAAAAGAAGAAAAATAAATGGTCTACATTACATCACCTCAAGTATTTGATCGCTAATATTCTGATTATTTCGTAAACTTTAGTCAGAATACTTTAAGCTTTATATACTGTTTGGATCAATAGTCGAAACCCACCTAAATTGGTCGCTCTAAATCTTTTTTCGATTCATCTTTACTTCAGAAGACATCCCCGTTAGTAAAATACAGTAGTTATTAAATATGGCTTAAAAGTGAAACCAATTGTATGGTTACTTTCTAAACAAATAAATATCCATTTTATATAAATCATTTCTTTTGAATTCGCTATTATTATTCTAATCATTGTTTATCGTATATTTAATTTTTTATGCCTTCATACATTAATGTTCTGATGGTCACTTTTAAATGAGATTAAATTTAAATACATACACAGATATTACAGTAACAAATGAGATTATCGACTTCTAACATCCCATCAGTTGCATTTCAATAGATATGGGTTCATGAAAAGATACACACAAAAAAACCCAAGCACTTTACAAATCCCTAAACGAATATCTTCACAAATATTTGGGTTTCAAAATTGAAAAGGAAATAAATCCATTTGAAATAAAACTTCAATACATAATAATTAATCCATAGTGTTATAATAATTTCAACAATTTTCTTCGGTTATTTTTTTCGGGCGATTTGTCCTCTAATAATTTTTATTAAACGAAGGTATCACATTCAACGATGACAGATAGAATGAAAATATATACGGAAAAAATGGTTGTATTGCATGAGTAGAGTCCGAAATATATCATTCTTAAAATAGCAAATGTAAATATCATGATATATGTGTTTATACATAATAGGTTTTAGTAAATTGATTAGAAAAACTAAATCAAACGAAGTAATTCTATAATGAATGTCATCGCAAAAGGATGAATACGATTATTTAATATTAGTAAGCAATCTTGAAATAAAAATACAGATTCGAACACACTTTTTCCTGTACTAAAATCAGCTGGCAAACCATAAAAATATAAAGTGATAGACTCAAGTCCTAGATGTTCTTACGACCTTCCCTTTACAGAGTAAGTTTTACCAAAGATTTTTACATCTTTTCAACTTCTGGGTTGTAAACTATTTATTATTTATTTTATTTTAGCACATAGATATTGGTACAAGGAGGCACCAAATACATATGCGCCACACAGATATCAATTGATATGTGTGAGGGCTGTGATCTGCCCGGATGCCCAAACCGAAGCAGGTAGTTTTCTTAGGGGGTCACACCCCGAGCCTTCGACCTGAAGATCTGATCCACAAGGCAGTGAAGCATCGTATGGAGATGCAGTCCCATGGAAGCCGGTGACCAACGATTGGTTCATACGCCATTTGTTCTTTCAGGATCTTGGAGCCCATGTGCACCATTAGTTTGGGATCCGGTTAGAGCGCCGGACATTCGCTTTTCGTCTTCTCAATTTCGTAAACAACACCCCTGCCACGTGAAGGCAGTGAGTAGGACATTTCTGGCAAAGGTTGTATACGCGTGACCATGTGAGAGTATTTCGAGAGGAAGAGTGGACTCTCCCCACTCTCGGCCGTACCAGGGCGTTTGGGGGCGAGTTGTAAACTACCTGGTCTCCACAACAATGACTCATGTATTTTAATGTTATCCTTTGATTTTTAATAGTGATCACATTAATGATAAACATAGGTAAGGACCTGTTCATATTTTATCTTCTTGGGAGCCATTGAACTTTAAATTACAAATGCAAATACACTGGGACAGTTCGCCAATATACAACATGACGTCCCAGTCACTCTCACACTATTTTAATCCCTACGACAAATGACGTTTCAAAACAATTTCTGATAATTGTGTTTTAATATAATGGGAATTTTTCAGCAAGTAATTTCTGATATATATTCTTTCAAACAACTTACCTTTATATATATATATATATATATATATATATATATATATATATCCTTGATATGCAACACTTATGTATATCAACCTGATAACGACTGTAAAAGGGGATGCTGTGTATAATTATCTATAGAATACAAATTACTTAAATAAGTAAACGAACATCCATTTATAAATAAAATATTTGTTTACCATATAATCTTTCAAATAGTTTTATACTGATACATTTCTAATCAGCATGAAATTGTGGAGATTATTGAATTTTATTGAAATCATAAACCGATCTCAGTTAAACTATCACTGAAAAATTCAAAGCATTCGATGATCGTTTCATTCTAAAATAGGACTCCTCAGTAGTTCATATCTACGATCCCGAAACACACAATGCAACCAAACACTTCCAGTCTCTCATGAGAACACTTAACATCTAGATCACTGAACTGGCATTCAACATAACTGTTAAAATAAAAACTCAACAGTCCCATACTAGGACGAGAAGGTAACCCAATGATCTCAGATTTTCAATAGTGGTCTAACTCACAACCGTTCATGATTTCAATAAAAATTTCAAATACGTCATACAATAATAAATGATACAAACTGTTAAACTTACAAAGAATAATTCAGTGATGTTGATGGTGATAGACAATTGAGTAAAGACGTCATAAAATATAATAATCTTGAACGATGAATACAAAAATGAATACCAGAAATATTCCCATTTATTAAGCATAGATTCAATACTCGTGATAATAAAATTTCTACATTGAATTCCTTTTGAATTCTTTGCATAAAACAAGTAGCATTACATGACCAGTTGAAAAATTCTAGAAAACACCACATAACATGTGGATAGATATATTCCAAGTGATTATTCATACACTGATGACCAGGATGATGATCACGATCGTGATGATCAACACCATATGTTAACGATCGCCAATTTATCCAATAGTCAATTAATTTCAAAGTAAGCTCATCAGATAAATCAGAATTTATTTTTAATAGATTAAGGAAACGTAAAAGTAGAATTGGTTCAGTTTCCGCATAATGAATGGTCATATGGTTGAATAAATTTTTATTGAAAAATTTTATACAAATATGACGAAATTCATTTAAAAATTCAATATGAAATGGCTGAAATAAATCAAAATGAAACAATCGAAGAAATGATGAAGATATAAATACAACTAAACAATAAGAAAATGTATTAGTTGCAAAAATTCTATCATGAAGATTATAAGACTATTAAATACTGTTTCAGTCAAAGTCTTTCAGAGAATATTACTTACATACGCCTGTTACTCCTCGTGAAGGAGCATAGGCCGCTCACCAGCATTCTCCATTCAGCCCTGTCTTGGGCAATCCTTTCCAGCTCTTTCCAGTTCTTATTCATCCGTTTCATATCTGAATCTATTTCCCGACGTAATGTGTTCGTTGACCTTCCTCTTTTCCGCTTCCCTTCAGGACTCCAAGTTAGCGCTTGTCTCGTGGTGCAGTTTGATGATTTCCTCAATGTATGTCCTATCCATTTCCATCGTCTTTTTTTAATTTCCTCTTCAGTCGGAAGCTGGTTTGTTCTCTCCCACAAAAGGCTGTTGCTGATGATATCCCGCTAATGGATGTTGAGTATCTTGCGTAGATAGCTATTCATAAATACTTGCACTTTCTTGATGATAGTTGTCGTAGTTTTCCAAGATTCAGCTCCGTACAGTAGAACTGTCTTCACGTTCGTATTGAAGATTCTGACTTTGATATTGGTTGGAAGTTGTTTTGAGTTCCATATGTTCTTTAATTGAAGGAATGCTGTCCTTGCTTTTCCAATCCTCAACTTGACGTCTGCATCTGAACCTCCTTGTTCATCGATGATGCTTCCCAGGTATGTGAAGGATTCTACATCTTTCAAAGTTTCGCCATCAAGAGTGATTGGATTTCTGTTCTCCGTGTTGTATTTGAGAACCTTGGTTTTTCCCTTGTGTATGTTGAGGCCTACTGGTGCAGAGACTGCTGCTACGCTGGCTGTCTTTATCTGCATTTGTTCATGTGTATGTGATAGGAGGGCTAGGTCGTCTGCGAAGTCCAGATCGTCTAATTGGTTCCGAGCTGTCCATTGTATACCATGTTTTCCCTGAGATGTCGAGGTCTTCATAGTCCGGTCGACCACCAGAAGATAGAGGAAGGGGGAGATTAAACAGTCTTGTCTGACTCCGGTCCTTACTTGGAATGCATCTGTCAGCTGTCCTCCATGCACTACTTTGCACTGAAGTCCGTCGTATGAGTTCCGGATAATGTTGACAATCTTCTCAGAAACTCCGTAGTGTCGAAGAAGTTTCCATAACGTTCTCCTATCTACACTGTCGAATGCCTTCTCATAATCAATGAAGTTGATGTACAGTGACGAGTTCCACTCAATTGATTGTTCCACGATGATCCATAGTGTCGCAATCTGGTCTGTGCACGACCGGTCCTTACGGGATCCAGCTTGTTGATCTCGAAGTTGAGCGTCTACTGCGTCTTTCATCCGGTTCAGCAACACTCTGTTAAAGACTTTCCCTGGTACTGGCATTAGTGTAATGCTTCTGTAGTTTTCACACTTGCTCAGATCTCCTTTCTTTGGAATCTTGATGGTGTTTTTCTTTCCAGTCCATCGGCACTTGTTCCTTCTCCCAAATCTTCTTGAATAGAAGATGAAGCATGTTTGTGGTTACTTCGATGTCTGACTTCAGTGCTTCAGTTGGTATATTGTCGGGTCCTGCTGATTTCCCGCTCTTGATTTGTCTGATGGCCATTCTGGTTTCTTCGGTAGTTGATGGATTGACATCTATGGGAAGATCTGTGTGTGCTGCTTCGATGTCCGGTGGATTCACTGGAGCCGACCTATTCAGGAGTTTCATATTTCCTTCTCTTGCAGCTTTTTCCTCCGTTGTTGCTATTTCTTTCAAGTATTTCTGCTTGCCGGCTCTAATGCTCTTCTTCACCTGCTTGTTTGCTTCTATGTACTCTGCTTGTGCTTGTACTTTCTCTGCTCGTGTTCGACTGTTGTAAATTGCTGTCTTCCTGTTCTTCCTTTCTTTGATCCTGTCCAGTGTTTCTATAGAGACCCATTCCTTACGGTGATGCTTTTTGAAGCCCAGAACCTTTTGACACGTAGAAGTTAATGCTTCTTTTATACCTTTCCAGCTATCCTCCATAGTAGTTTCTTCTTCCTTCAGCAGATCCTGTAAGGTTTTAGAGAATATAGTTGAAAGAAAAAAATGCTGATTGATATGATTTGAAATAACTAGTCACTACTTCAGCCAGGTCTTTCTTTCTTTATTCATTGAAAGATATGAAGATACAAATAAATGATAATGGAATGTGTATTCTAGTCATTTAGTTCAACATAGAGCGTTATATGTAAATTAAAATTTGTATATTAAACATTGTTTACATTAATAATAGCAAAAATAAACGATAAAGATATACCTCATTAGACAAAGAAAATATTGGTTTTCGTAAAGCGAGTAGTGCTGTCCATAGTTCCGTTCGATAATTCTCTTCGCAGTGAATCGTTGTAGGACTTTTATAAACAGAATTCATCAGAATACATAATTCATAAGCAAGATACCAAGCGGAAATAGATATCCAGTGAAGAAGATAATTCAATGCCGATTTTATGTTGAATAATCTATAAATATCACGTGAGAAGAGAGAATAAAAAGGTTAAAGACTATTTTAAACAATATTAAAATAGAGTCAGAAAAAGAATTATCAGTCAGATATGCAAAGAAAAATAATAAGCTACTCTGTAAACAGTTGAGCGTAATTTTTCCATCTGAAACATATGTTACGTTATTAAATCAGCAGAATATTATCTTTTCAGAAGCTTGTCGTTTTACGGTATGTTACACCACCAAGTTGGGCGAATCAAATGAGGATAGAAATTTCACCTTCTAGAGATCCCCAATATCTATCGGAAACACCGTAGTGTAATTACACTCTAATACAAAAGACAGTATGACTTCATCCTAGGATTGTACATTTGCAGTTTTTGGTCTTACTGATATCTAATTGACGCGCCCAGTGAGACAGAACTTTAAAAAACAAGTGTTCCAGAGAATATAGCTCATTTTGAGCATCATAATATTCATGTACAACGGCCATATCAATGTAATAGCTATTATCGAAATACTGGACAAGTCGAATAGTTTTAAAACTTTAGTCCTATTGGAAGGAAAAAATGTTAGTAGACCTGTTTAAACGATAACTAAGTGTGTATTTTGTAAGGTTTAACAGGTAAACACAGAGACAATCGATGTTAGATCTTGTAACTACTGAATGAAGGTAAAAGCTAGAGCTCTTTTAAGTAAGTGAACCGAGGAGCATAACAAGAAAAAAATAACAAGGGATAAGCCTACTAATATAAACAAGTCTAGAAAAATAAGGGAAAAAGGACAGGAGAAACTAGTGAAGACAAGTAGATATAAACAACTAGATATATTAGTGTTTAAGGTACTTCTGTGTAACTGTCATCAACTTTGAACAATTAAAAAATTAAAATCTAAAACCATCAATTTCATATTTAATAAACTATAGCCAAAAATATCAAAAATTCTTTCCCTAAGACATTAAAAATCAGCAGTTCTATGAACTGATAACACGTCATGATTTGATCATGACTATCAATTGAATACCAACAAGACTATCCCATTATTGGATCGAAAAAAACTTAAAAATAGATTGAGAGATGTAACTTGGGATGTTAATTGTCTTTCATCAAACCTAACTTTATATTATCCTATTAGTCTTACAGTTGAGGTACAGAAAAAAAATCTACTGTTCCAAACTATTTATATTTAGTATTAATAGAAAGTGTGATATATATTGCTCTAATTTACTGAATCATTAGATAATAGTTGTAAACTATTATTAACTATGGAAAGTAGTCCAAATAGAAAAAATAATAACAGTTACAGAAAAGAAAATCATCAATTAACTGAAGTGTATCATAAGTAGAAGAGCAATGAAGGAATATCATGGTTTAGACACCAGAAATGGGTTGTAGGACGAGTTTTCGAAAAAAGCATATATGCCGAATGACTGAATAGATTTAGCTTTCTATTACTGGACAAAATAACTATGATGCATAATGTATGACAGTATTACTCAACATTAAAGAATTGGATAATGATAAAAAAGCAAAATAAATTTAACTTAAAACGACAACTAACAAAACAGAATCACCATTAACTTACGATTCTCTCCAATGTTGAATAATTTCACAAGTTTTACTTTCATACCATGATTGTAATAAACATAAATAACCATGTACCGCATTTGTTATAGAATTATATAAAATTTTCTTATTAGAGTTATGTAGTGAACACGAATGATAAATTAAGTTTAATGGTCCAATGCTTGATATGTTACAAAGTGAAGATTGTTTATCTTGTGAACATATAATTGATTCAAATTGATAGTATATATCAATCGGTGGGCATAGAAATACATGATAAGCTTTTGAAGCAAGTTTACGAATATGCATACTACAATGATTAAAAAGAATATATTCTAGTCGATTGAGGATTTTATCAATTTTAGATGACCTATTTAGAAAAAAATTATTTTGGAGTGACGAAAAAATAAAAATCACAGTAATTATTTTATGATAGCGAATACATGTAAGAATTTACCGGTAACCAAAAATAGAATAAAAATGATAGTTTGTTTGAAATATGAATAATAAAAACGAGTATTTATACACTAGAGATTATTTCAATAAAATTAAAGAGTGAAATAAATTGTATATCAATCGCCCGTAAGCAACAATGATTTACGTAACTATGATTAAGTTAAGGAGATATTCAAGACAAATATAATCGGACATATTCTAAGATGTAAATGAGAAAAATTAGATGTTCCATGAAGCGATCTAAGTTAAACCATCACTGAGAGTTGTATACAGATGCTGTTTATTGATAAGGTCAATCTCGAATGACTAAATGACCAAACATCAAAACACGGTGATCGATATGAGAAATAGAAGTGGATGATCATTAGTTGCTTCGTGGTAACAATTATCATATTGAATTAAATATTTATTCACTAAGAAAATAGCTTAGTCATATTATCATGACTGAAAATTTTGCATATTAACAAAGTACTAATAAAGTTAAACGGCCAGTATATTTTCATGCTCTAAAATTAAAGGATCACTTACATGAACAAATTATATCCATTCAACCAAAGCCGTTAAACCAATAACAGAAATTCATTTCACAAACAATATAGTACTTATTACCTCTACAACTGTGTCTGTTGTAAGGCAGTTACTCACCGAAGACATTGGTGGACGGTCGTGCAATATTGTGCATCGGTTGAAGCTAGACCATAACGCCGTTGTATGACGGCCAGACCAGTGGTTTATAGGTTAAACACTCACGCGCGAAACCGGAGTTTCTGTGTTCACGTTCCGCGTGCAGGATCGTAGACGCGCACTGTTAAGGAGTCCCATACTAGAACGAAACGGTCGTCTAATGCTTTTAGGTTTTCAATGATGATCTAGCTTTAATCGGCTCATGAATTCAATTAATTTTATAAACCGTAGAAAAATTTCTTGGTTTCAAAATTTATGCCTTGAAATTTGAGCTAATTCGGTTTCAGGTTGGAATACACAGTTTCATCTAATTTACTTAAAACAACCTAGGAGAATTTCTGATTTTTACAAATAAAATAACTGTGTATCAATGTTGAGTACATATACATGCAAACTTGTATTTCAATACTTAGCTGTAAAAAACATATAAATTTACAATTAATTAATTAAAACATATACTTACACTATCAACGAATGATCAAATGATGGAGAAAATCTAACAATTAGAGTAAGTATTGGAATTAAACTTTGAGTAGACGATAAATTTTCATAATTACTATTCAGACAATTAAATATAATATCCAACATTTGAGGATATTGAAAGCAGATATCCGAAATTAATGGAAATTCTAAGTCAAGACTTGCACCAGTGAGACGATAGATCAATGCACCTGTTGGATTTGAAATGACATAAATAAATAAATGACAGTGATTACATATATTATAATTAAAGCTATTTACTAATTGTTTCCGTAAGAAAATAACAAGAAGTAACATGGACAAGAAAGTAATAGAAACTTTAGTTAGTTTGTCATACATAGCATAGAACTTGACACATGTGGATGGGTTCAAGTTGCTATATCCTATTTTTATTTTAAGACAAATCGCAGGGTGGTAGAAGTAATTATAATATCGGTTATATTAGTAGCAGAAAATATTAGGTACAGAAGAAAAAGGTATGAGATTTAGAGACTCAGATTCAAAATGAAAACAAAGAGTCGATCCACCTGAATCGTTGCGAGTGATTATGGGCCATGTCACCTACATTTTACAACTGATTATAATAATCGCGCAGACCCCAACCAGGTAGTCAACATCTACACACACGACTCATTACAGTATTCGGTGTGTTCACGGACTGGTGCTATGTCCTGGTTTGGTTGATTTCATATTTTTTCCAAACTACTACATCAAGCATCATCGCGCGTCGACGTGGTCAGTGGGCGAGAAACGTAATATATACAGCAACCATCGTAATCGATAAAAATTCACTACCTCATCAATTGATTTACAATCATTACCTGGTATATTGTGTCTGATCTCGAAATCGCTAACTCGATGGTTCCAGAATAAACGACGGTTATCTATTATTCACCTGCATTATACATGTAAACCTCTTTTCAGTATGTTTACGAAAAAAATTCGAGAAAAAATGTAGCGATAACAACATAATCAATTATCAGATAATTATTAATTATTGTAATTCATTTACCATATACATGTTTATTTAGTCTCATTAGAATCATATTTGGTTTATACGACAGCTAATGATACAATCAGGCCAATCAGACCAAAAAAGCGGAAAAAAATTAAAACCGTCAATCAAAGGAATTATAAAATCAGTGAAACGACAAAAGAGTATGGTACTTTATTTTATTCATTATAATAACGATTACAATTCGGTTAAATACTATCGAAAATTTAGTTATATTTGCAGTCTTTGCGTCTGTTTGTCTATCTTTCTATCAATCTGTTCACCTGCTTTTTCCTCGAAACTCATTAATTTATTCTAAGAACATTCGTATGTTCAGTAAAACATGGGTGTCATTCAAAAACCCAAAGCACTTTATCTACAACACCTATATCTGTTTTTGTAATCAGAAAATTTCAAGAAGGAATTAACACAGCATGATACAATTTCGTCTAAAGTATGTTCAGAATTAAACTGTCTTGTGTATGAATATTGCAGCTAATTGTAGGATATTAAACAGTTGTTATGCAATAAGACTAGACTACATTGATTATTCCTATTCGAATTTCAGTACAACATAATGATTAACTCGATTCTCAACCAAATGGACAGTCTAATAAACAATGTTTCATTCTTTTTGTTTTCAACCTATCTAATACTACAATTAGTATGTTTAAATAATTACATGTAGCTATTTTCGATTGGTATACACAATTCAATACAATACAATACAATTAGGGTTTTAGAACACAATTGAAAAAAATCAACTGGTTTGATGATTTTTTAGGGAAAAACAAAACACAACTGTAAACTTCAATCTAAATATGTTTTTAAAAAAAACCTTCAAAAGTCGAATTTATATGAAAAATAACACCTACTATGAAGTTGAAGAGCACCATTCCAAACATTCCATTTTTTCGAATTAAAACCAGGAATAACAGCTAATTGAAGAGCTTCAATTGTCCAATTTTTAACATGTGATAGACTATTATTATTTTCTATCGGAATAGAATGTTCATGTACACGTAATCGAGCATCAGAAAATAGTCCGTGCAGTAAATGTAAAGCAAATACTTGTGGTGAATCATGAAGTGTTGGTGAATCGAATATAATATGAGTAGTATTATTATTCACATTATTATAAGCATCATTATCATCTGATTGTGTAATTTCAAATAAACTTTTTAAACAACAAACAAGTGAACATGGCTACAAGGAAGATAAATACAAACAATTAGAAAACATATGAACTATATTACTGTAACTGATGTTTTTCCTTTTTTATCTCGAAACTTAAATTAGTAATAAAAATGTTAATCTAGATTAAATAGTGTAATATAATCTTTAAGCAAACAACGTATCTAAGATATTCCGTTTTTAGGGTTTGAAGTTTATCTATATCGATAGTTGTCAGTATGGATTGCGATATAACCAGCTAAATCAAGAAATAATGAATATCTGAGGTTTTGAGATTGTCAGATATTTGGAAGCGAATGCCCATCATAACTACGAGGCAACACCATGAATTCTTATGAAAAATAATAACAAACGGAAGCCGATAATGCTGGGTTACCCATCAACTGTTTGAAGTTAGAAATTTAAACCAGTGGACGCCAAGTCAGTTGTCTAAAGAGGTTAACGCGAAACTTGAAGGCATTTGATTCGATCCCCGATTGGATCGAAGATGACTGCCACTGAGGGGTCGCATACTTGAACGAAACAGTTACTCAGCGCTTTCAGTCTTTCAAAGGTTTACCATTTAACGTCGGTTTATGACATAAACTACAAACTACATAAATCTCCAAAAACTCCTTACACATTTAAGAGAAACGAATCTGTTTGGAGTTAGAACACTAAAGATATATTATACCAATTTTTATGTGTATTCATTAGATTTGATAATGTGTATCAGTCAAATTCAAAAATGTAGACATCGTCCTTAAGCCCCCAAATGCCCTAGTACGGCCGAGAGTGAGGAGAGTCAGCTCTCCCTCTCGAAATGCTCACACATGGCCACGTGTATATAGCCTTTGCCAGGGAAGTTCTACTCACTACGTTCTCGTGGCGGGGATGTTGTTTACAAAATTGAGAGGACAAAAAGCGAATGTCCGGTGCTTTAACGAGGTTGGTGGATATGGATAGTCCACCTAGGGGAGTTGGAAAATTCTGGTTCCAAACCAATGGTCCAAATGGGCTCCAGGATCCTGAGGGGACAAATGGTGCATGAATCAATTGTTGATCACCGGCTGCCATGGGACTGCATATCCTTACGTTGCTCCACTGCCCTGTGAATTAGACCTTTAGATCGAAGGCTCCGAGTGTGGCCCCTTAAGAAACCACCTGCTTCGGTCTAGGTACCCTAGCAGTATCACAGCCTACACACAAATCAAGTGACTTGTGTTGAGCATATGTATTTGATGCCCCTTTGTACCAATATTTGTGTGTTCAAATAAATTAATAAATGCTTGAATCACCGTATTCCTACTACCAAAGCATAAATTCTTTTAATTGAATAAAAAAAACGTTTTCAAAAACAAATATGAAACACGGTTTATGGATTACACTACTAACAAAATGTGGTGGTATAACAACATACAGGCGTAAACGTGGTTAAGTGTCTTTCATCTAACACCAAATCTCAACACAGAATACTTATAATGTATAATAAAAGCATTAAATATTACTTACAGGATTTTCAAGTCCGTTACAAGATTTAACCAGAAGACAAGCACGTATAACTGGTATAACCCCGGCACCACGTCTAGTAACAGAGTAAGCACTGTTACAAAGAACGTTCCAACATATTTGTAACATATGATCAGCAGAAATACCTCTATTACAGGTCGATAAATATTTAATATCAGTAGTCGGATTTCTACAATTTATTTTGAAAGCTGATGACTTTAAAGCATCCTCTTTACATGTTTTCAATGAAGAACAAGATGAAAGTTGATAGTTTTCAACAGTTTGTAAATAAAGGAGAAGATTGAAATATAGTGCTTCCATAGTTCCCTGGAAAATAAATGAATGGAAAATTACATTGAATACAAAAATACATGTAAGTTTCAGAGTAAAGATAACTAAGACATTTCTAAGTTACGTAATAATGTTTGCAGTTCTTGATTTTGAGTAATTAAATGGGTAGATCGAAAGGTACCTCACTTAATTCAATCCGTTAAACTTGCAACAAAAACCAGACTATCATATATAGGTGGTTTACCAACCTAAACTAAATCATCTTTATTCAATCATTGACGCTAATCAGATTCTAGTACTTCAGTTGTCAAATAGCTCTGATCTACGTGACTCTACATCTCATCTACTATATTAACATTTTAGGTGGGTGGAGATAGTCGTTAAGATACCTTTCTTAACCCAAGTCTCGTGACATTCGGCATTTGTCAGCAAGGTGCACCTATGATCTTGAAAGAACTGATGTTTTCGATGGGTTCGAATATCAGAGACAAAGAATATTACTTCTATCAAGATTGCAAATACACACATTTATGTCAAAGATTAATTATCAACGGTCTATAAGTTAAGGAACGTGAAGCAGATCATTTAGTGTGACCTATTTAATAGATAAACCATCAACGGAATAAAGAAAAGATTATTTTTTAATAAAAACAAACCCTCAACAATAACCATTATGGAAAATATTTTTAAGTGTCGAAATCATATTCTGGGGCTTTACAATTGTTATTTTTGTAAAAATTTGTTAAGACATGGATGTAGAGCTAGTAAATTTATTCAGGTTCCAATTTATGCATACTAACTGCTACAGTATAAACAGTATTTTCATATTTAATTGATAGAATATGACTAACAGTGGAGTCTAAGAAGCGTGTTCAGTCCTACTTGGAATTTATCAGCTGAATGTACCTATATCCTAGTATTCACGCGAGAATTTAAAACAAATATCTTACGCTTCAAACACTCAACGCATTAACTACTAAGCTACTGAATCCTAGTAGTCACTAACATGTGCAATAGGTATAAATTGAACTGGATTTGTAGTTTCACATCAACAACGAGATCATTAAAATCATTACAAATAAAAGTAATTTCACATATAGCTTTCCATGTGAAACCACGAGAATTAAAACAAAGAGAAACACGAAATGCATGCATATCTGTACAGCAAAAAGTTTTTTTTTGATGTTAGAGGAAATATAAACAACCTACCTTGTGACGACATTGTAACAATTGATGCAATAACTGATAGCCAATTTTGGAGGCAAGCAATTTTCGTTCCACATCTGTCATTACATTCTCTTCAGGTAGTTTACACTGAATTGCAAACCAATTGGCAATAATGCTGGAACAGAACTAGTGTTTAATTTTTTCGGTATTTAAGAAAGTTTAAAAAATAGGAAAAATTCAATTATGTGATATTTTCGCAGATGAAAAAGAAACTAAATCTTCATTTACTCAACACTACTACGGTAGTGCAACACATATATTAAGTTTTTAATTGGAAACTCATATCTTCTAAATAATTGACAGAAACTGGTTAAAAAGGGATGATTCCTATAAAAACCTCAATCGCCTCCATGAATACCAACATATTTAATTAGGTTACTATTATCATCAAACGGAGTAACAGACGTTTAAGTGTTATTTGTTTCTTCAACCTCTACAGGTTGGTGATTGACAGTGACCCAAGATAGTGTGGGTTCGTTTATGTTGGTTGTCGCGCTGTTCAATCAGCAGGTTCAAACCTGTACGGCAATAGTACCGTACGTAGTATCGAAAATACACATACAAATATACAATTCAGGGTATTAAGTAGCAGTCTTAGTCATTTTTAAATCACACATTGTATAAATCACTCCTCTTGTTAGATACAACCAATCTCAGTGTATCTATACAAATGAAAAGCGTCATGACAAGACATTTATTTAATGGGATAATGAAGTGAATAAGATAACAAAACAAAAAGATCATTTTCTTCACTATACCTATCTCTGAATTACTACTGGATATATTTTAGAAAGTGGAACTAACATTTAACAAGTTGAATACAGATTTTAAGAAGTTTATTTACTTATTTATTTGAACACACAAATATTGGTACAAAGGGGCATTAAATACATATGCTCAACACAAGTCACTTGATTTGTGTGTAGGCTGTGATACTGCTAGGGTACCTAGACCGAAGCAGGTGGTTTCTTAAGGGGCCACACTCGGAGCCTTCGATCTAAAGGTCTAATTCACAGGGCAGTGGAGCAACGTAAGGATATGCAGTCCCATGGCAGCCGGTGATCAACAATTGATTCATGCACCATTTGTCCCCTCAGGATCCTGGAGCCCATTTGGACCATTGATTTGGAACCAGAATTTTGCAACTCCCCTAGGTGGACTCTTATTTATTTTTTATTTATTTGAACACATCAATATTGGTACAAGAGGGCGCCAAATATATATGCGCCACAGAAAATGATGAGAATTTGAAGAGAGAAAAGGAAGGTAAGGAGCGTAAAAAAACAATAACGAACAGATTAGTGTAAGGTAGTGTAATAATAATAATAATAATAATAATAATAATAATAATAATAATAATAATAATAATAATAATAATAATGGGGGAAACGGAAAGGTACAATCAGAAGAAATCTTTCAGTTAAAGTAGAAGCAACCACTTTTTATGAAGAAAACAAAAAAAGGTTACAGCAGGATCACCACTGGCTTCTGTTCTGAACCATAACTGATAACGTCTCAAGCCGCCGTGTTGCACCATCTCTTGGACCCCAATCAGGGAGTCGTGAAGGACCAACACAAGCTAGCCCTTTGCAGCTTTTTTCATACCACGACACCATGTCATACACTGACCACCTCTCCGCTTTCTCCAACCAGTCCCAGAGTCGGCAAATAATGCACGACGTGGGACGAAATTCGTAGAACATGTCCAAGCCACCGAATTTGGTGTTTCAAGATGGTGAATCTATAGCCACCATCCAGTTAAAGCACCGGACATTCACTTTTTGTCCTCTCAATTTTGTAAACAACATCCCCGCCACGAAAAGGTAGTGAGTAGAACTTCCCTGGCAGAGGCTATATACACGTGGCCATGTGTGAGCATTTCGAGAGGGAGAGCTGACTCTTCCCACACTCGGTTGTATCAGGGCATTTCAGGGCAGATTTTACGAAATAGAAAATTCTATTTATAAAAGAAATATTCAATTACTAAATGAAAGATAATCAGATAACAACTAAATTAATGAATATAGAATGAAACTGAAAATCATTAAAAACAACTGTCAATCTATTCGCTTTTGCATAACAACTAATCAACTATACAAATTCCATTTGTATAGTTGATTTTTTTCGTGTTAAATAATATGATTTAAAAATCATTCTTATTAGTACATTTGTATGAGTTATTATTCATTATCTATATTGAATATCTTTTAGTCAATTTAAACAACTGTCCTTCAAAAATAAATATTATTTATAACTGTCAATTTTGTTTATATTCAAATATATGTGTAAAACATATTTTTCTCCTTCCGAATTATTCTTTCTTTTAGTGTATTACTGATAAATAAATAAAAAAATGTAACCAAATAAATCAAAATAAACATTTGTGTGAAGTTTTATACTATTTTTTTTAAATCTGAAGTAATATATGAAAAATATAAATTAAATAATAATTGAATAACATTGTATTAATTAATGAACTCAATTTTTTATTTGATTATTTTGTACAGTGTTTGTTGGTGTTATCAAGCAAAATCGAATAATTAGAAATAAAAACCATTGATATGAATATATTTGTCATTCTGATTCATACAAGGATATCTGGGTCGAAACCTTTATTAAAAATATAACTGACACCCTACAACAGCTTATTAGGCTTATAATTTCTTGTCTATGATCTAATCCTGAGATGGCATATGAACACATACATATGATATACTTAGAGTCGCCTAATATATCACAATTTCAAACTCCATTCTGCTACTTCAGATTGAGAAGTGAGGTAAGAGTACCATTGGTTATCGGGCCTAAAGTTTAGTACATGAAGTAGTATTCAGATAAGTTGTGCTGTATCTTATGTCCGCTGTCCAAAATCGAGTACCAAGTCACCAATCAGAATCTTAATTTGACCTGCTATGTACTCTATAGCCTAGTGTCTCCGACTTAGTCAGTTACACATCTTACTAGCACTACTGACATTGAGCAAATAGCTAGGTTTCTATTGGTCCATTGTTCGGAAAATCATCTCTATGTTCTATATTTGAGTCCAGAAATGGTCATTAGCCTGTACGATATTTAGATTTCAAACAGAATTGATTTATATACAGATATACCGGACTGCACAGAGTCAAAAAATAAAAAATAACGATTATATATGAACACGTCAAAAGTGGTTGTGAATGCGGCAAGCTATAATTGATAGACTAGCAATAAATTAAGAATAACAAGTCCTATAACAATAGTTAATGTATGAACCAAAAGCTTATGATAAATGGAATGCATATACAAAGCAACCAAGTTACTATGTAATTATACAACAAAATTATAATTAATCATCATTTGAAAACTAATCCCAACTTCTACAATGTTTGTTTCACTATAACACATTGGAAAAGAAGTTGACTGATCAAAATTAAAGTAGAAATAATGCATTTGATTCAAACTTTTAATATAATTATTAAAAATATATTTACTTAACCAGTAGACTATCAATAAAATCAGCGTATGAATGTATATACTACTGTGATGCATGCTACTTATGATGACAGATATAAGTAGCATGTAACAGCAATAGAAATACAATGCCTGTCAGCAGAAGATTGAATTGAAGGGAACAGGAAAGGAAACAGAGAGCAATTGTAATAACAACGGAATTGAAATAATCATGAAAAATGTAAAGGATAGCTGAAGGAAACTGTGCAGATGATGTATTTAATGTATCATTTTCATAATTTACAAATGCATTCTGTAATATTCGATTAAGCAATAAATTGGTTTTCCTCACCGAGTTCTCGTTCACTACCCTAAGAATCATTGTTAAATACAAAATTCTAGCCAAAATATAGATTAAATATGAGCATAGGATATACCAATACTAAAAATATCAAGAATATATTTATAATGGCACACATTTATATAGACATATTTTTATCAACTTACCTTCAAGGTATTCCATGACCAAGAAAGAATATGTTGATATTCCGGTAATAATTCAATAGAATTTAATGAATCAATATCAGAATTATCTACATTATTTACAATTGTTGAATTATTTGTAGTATGTGTATGTGAGGTTTGAATGAGATGACACTGTGTTGATTGACCGACTTTTTCATTACTATAATGTAATAGACATTAAAAGATACAGAAAAGTATGTAGAGGAGAAAGCGTGGAGTATTAAAATGAGTAGTAATAATAACAATTACTATGAGTTTTCTCAATCGAATCCAAAGACCAGGTATTAACTTCAGTCTTTTACTATCTCTTCCTACCACAAACATTAGTTAAATAACTTTGATTGCGTTGACTGTCACTTATTAATCCTGAATGATTTTTATATGAACGTATGTATGCTAATTAATTACCTTATTCATCATGTGTCCGTAACTTATTTTTGTCTGGCTATAAATATTGAGCCACGTTTGATGAAAACAAGTTAGCTCACTCATCTCCATTATGTTTACTTCGCTTTCCGACTAACGATTGTACGAAACATACGTATTCGAAAATCCATTCTCGTATCTGACTTATTTAATTCCGTTATTCACTAACACGATCCAAGTTGATGATAATATAAGTGGATTGGTGACATGTATATTCTAATGACAATCATTCATACCATCTAAATGGAGTCAGATTCAGGGCTACTAAAGACTCATTGAAATGAACAGTTAGACAATAGAGATCTTAACTGCTTGCTGGATTCATCTTCTGATTGAAAACTAGGTTGAAAGTAACTTCAAGACCAATAGGTGCTAAAGTCTTTGTCTTTATTCATTGGTCACAGGGACATGGAAAAAATAGTACAGTGATCCTACAGGCATAAATAGGATTAATCGATAGTCAGACTAGACAATACTACTGCTCCCAAAATAACGTCCCGATCATATGGGCACCAATAAAAAACAAAAACGTGTTTTGTTTTTTCAAGATATAACGGATACAATTTTTTCTAATCATTCAAAATACTTACATGGTAATAAAACAAATTTCAATACCAGTTGATAAAAACGTATCAAAAGCAATTAGAGGAAAGGAACGTATCAATAAAGTACTGAGGATATCACAAAACAAACCCATTTGAATCTCAATATACTATATGTGTGTGTGTTATGATCCACCTATTAGAGAGTAGCGTATTATCGATCGGAACAGTGACGCATAAAATACAAGCGAGCAGCCTAGAGTCCTGATTGGTCCTGCTTTCCTGTCTAGCCCAGCCAACTAAGTCCAGAACACAAGTCTCAGCCTTGGAGATATGAATCGTTATATTTCAAACATACACTGTTTATATACCAAACAAACAGACTACATCGTACCATAAATAGAAAGTAACATTTGTATAAGATTTAACCTTCAGGAAATGACACAAATAAATATTGACCAATAGGGAGATGACACGTTGGAAGAATATTGACCAATGGGGAAATGACACAATTTCTCATTCAGGAATAGCATTCGATAATTTCTGGGGTATTTTCTGAATACCCCAACACCTCCCTTTTTTTGAAGCGTTAGAGATAATAATGATCCTTAGGATTTATTTTTATTCGATTAGGTTTCCGCCTGATGCGCTGCAACCTTCTTGGGAGTGTTGTATGCGTCTTGTTATTATTCGGGTCATTTTTAATTTCATTATCCGACTCAGTTAATATATTTATTGGTATATTCGACTTGATATCATTTCCTGTCTCCCGCTCCTGTCTGGTTGGCCGTATCTGGTTTGCGTGTCGCACCCATATCTTTTGTCCAACTTTTACTTCATAGATAACCTTCCCTTTTTTCCGTGTTATCATGCCAAACTTCCAGGTTGGCTTTACTCCCGTGAAATCTCTTGCTATTACAGCTTGTCCCACCTTAAAGCTTCTGGGCAATGCACCGTGCCGCTTGTTGAATTGCTGTTCCATTCGTTTGTTCTTGCGGAGGTTGGCTGTAGATTTTGGTTTCATTTGCTCTATAGGTATTCTAATCTTTCTCCCAAAAATTGCTTCTGCTGGACTTTCTTGATTATTTGTAGTTGGGTTGGGTGTTGCTCTGTAGGTTTGTAGAAATCTTTGGATGATCTCTTCTGTTTCCCCTTCTCCTTCGGCTTTAAGCAGTGCTCTTTTAAACGTATCCACGAATCTCTCGACTAGACCATTGGACTGTGGATGGTATGGGGGTGTCTTTATATGTCTAACGGCGTTGGCGACGCAGAACTTCGAGAATTCGGCGGAGGTAAACTGTGGTCCATTATCAGACACCAGTACATCTGGACACCCAAAGCAGCTGAATACTTGTCTTAGTTTTTCGATAGTAGCTTTTGTCGAAAGAGACTTCATACAGTGGATCTCTGGCCATTTTGAGAAGGCATCAACAATCACCAAGTACTGTTTCCCGTTTATGGGACCTGCGAAATCCACATGTACTCTTGACCACGGATTTTCCGGTGTCCCCCAACTCTGCATTTCTGTCTTGCGAGGGCTTTGATAGCTTTAGCACACGCGGAACATCTCTCAACATAGTCTTTGATCTGAGCGTCAATATTCGGCCAATATACATACCCACGTGCAAGTGCCTTCATCCGCGCTATCCCTGGGTGTGCAGCATGCAGTTCTGACATCACCTTACGGCGTAAGTCTGTGGGTACAATTACTCGATTTCCAAACATCAAGCACCCATCCACAAACGATAGAGAACTTCGACGGTGAGAATACTGTTCAATATTTTTGTTGTCTATATGGGTAGGCCAACCATGTTCGAGGTATCGAATAATCTGCCTCAGCTCATCGTCTTCTTGAGTATGGTTTTTAATGTCTTCAGAGGATAACGGTGTTGCTTTTATGGCAACTTGTAGTATATGATGAATATCATTTTCCAACGATATCGTCGCGATAATAGAATCTTCGCTTTCCTGCTTCTGATTCGCAATTAATCTGGATAAAGCATCAGCTTGTCCAAACTTTTCAGTTGATTTATATAGGATTTGGAAATCATAAGCAAGCTCAGCGTTGTAATCGATTTGCTGTATATGCAGGAATACCTTACTTCGATCCAAATATAGATGAAAGCGGCTTGTGGTCCGTTAAGAGAGTAAATCGACGACCATAAATCATTTTATGGAATTTCTTTACTGCAAAAACTAAAGCTAGTCCTTCCTTCTCAATATGACTATATTTTCTCTCAGCTGAGTTAAGAGTTCGAGATACATGAGCAAATGGCTTTTCTTTACCATCAGGAAAACGATGACTGATAACAGCTCCAATTCCATAGTTTGAAGCATCGGCGGCTACAATTATTTCAAGCTTAGGATTATAATGAGTCAGCAACAGTTTAGAAGATAAAATCCTTTTTATTTCATCGAAAGAATCTTGACATTCCTTTGTCCAGTTCCATGTTGCGTTAGCCATCAAGAGTTGATTTAATGGATGTCGTAATTTATACATATGGGGTACGAACATACTATAATAACCAATCATCCCCAAAAATGAGCGAAGGGTTGTAACCTCAGTCGGTCTGGGCATATTTTTGATGGCATTAATATTATCTGGATCTGGTCGACGACCATTTTTATCAAATATATATCCAAGGTACTTAACAGACTCGAGCTGAAATTCACACTTTTCTTTTTGTAACTGAAAACCAGCTTGTGATATTTTTGTGAGCGCCACATCTAACCGACCCATTAATTCCTGCACAGAAGAGCCAACAACTATAATGTCATCTAAGTAAACTGCTACACCTTCGACGTTAGACACCATAGTATCCATTATTTGCTGGAAAATTGCTGGAGCTGGCTTAACACCAAACGGTAGTCGGTTAAATCGATAGAGTCCGCGGTGGGTATTAATGGTTAATAACTCCTTTGAATCTTCGTCAACTTCTACTTGTAAGTAAGCTTCAGACAAATCAAGTTTAGAAAAATAACGTCCACCGTTCAGTTTAATAAATAAATCCTGTGGCAGAGGTAATGGGTATGAATGATTTTGTAGAGCGTTATTTAGTCCTGTTGAAAAATCTGCACAGAGGCGAATAGCTCCGTTTGCTTTCTGAACCACTACAATTGGTGCTGCCCATGCCGAATAATTGATAGGTTGTATAACACCGAGCTTCTCTAGTCGGTCTAATTCTTTGTCGACTTTGTCAATAGCCGCATATGGGACTTGACGTTTTGGACGGAAAACAGGTTTTGCATCCTGTCGTAAGTATAATTTCGCCTTCTCAATTGTGCAGCATCCCAATTTATTCTGAAACAAATTTTTATGCTTCTGCAAAAGATCTTCTATCGTTACGACTTTCTTAGTTACATGGACTGTGGTTGGATCGCTAAGATTATTTGCGCTTTTCATAGAGCATATTTCACTTAATGGTACATCCCATAAATTTAGTTTGTCTATCCAGTCTATACCAATAAGGTCTAATTCATGTCTGTTCGTTAAGTAACAATTTCCCGTAAAGTAATTACCTCGGAATTTAACAGAACATTTTATCATTCCAACGAGTTTTAATATATCTCCGGACGCATTCCGTGCAGTGTGCTCTGTTGGTAATACTTTCGGACGCCCAATTAAATTCCACGTTCGTTTCGAAATCAGTGTGATATCTGACGCTGTGTCCAATTGTAATCGAACAAGAACATCATTAACCATTAATTCCACATATCTTCTTTTATCCGCTACGCTTAGAGTCAGCGTGGAATATATACTGTTTATATATTTATTTTGGTACTGGTGAGGACGCCTGGTTTGTTTCGATCTCAAACTTTCTTTGGTTCGGCAGACTGTTTCTTTGTGGCTAACTTTATTGCATATAGTGCATTTATGATTTCTAAACCGACAAAATCTTGAGAAATGCCACGCACCACAATACCAACAGTTAGTTGCAGGTTTAGGAGTTTTCGAGTGATATTTATGACTTTTGGTATTATTTTGTCTTTGACTTGTCTTGACAGCATGAACAGAATTTGATGGCGCTGCACTTTTGGTTTCCAGCATAGCGGTATCTTGTTTTAAGTTTATTAATCGTTGGCATTCAGTGGTGATAGTTTGTAACGTCATTTCATCATCATGTTCTATACGGGATAACAATTTCATGCGAAAATCAGCATCAACAGGAGAGTTTAGACCAGAAATGAATAATAAACATTTAAATTGATCACTGGTTAATACATTTAACTTAAATCGTTCTGCTTGCAAATTTGCTCTTCCGGCGTACGTAATGTAATCTTCATCAGCCTCTTTAGTCAGCTGTAGACAATTATACCGGATACGGAATAAGGACGCCTGTTCACAAAACATTCTATTTAAGATGTTAACAGTTTCTTCGAAACTAACTTCTCGTGGGTGCTTAGGCAGGATATGGTTTTTATACTTTTGGTGCTCGTTAGAACCAAGCTTCTGAAAGAGCAGTCAGACTTTCTTTGCGTCATCCATAGCAGCAAATTCCACTCGGAAAATATCTTCAATTCTGCCAAACCATGCTTCAAAAGTGTGACCATTGTCTGCATCAAATATAAATTCTGTAACTGGATTAAGACATGACTCGATACTTTTATGTTCTGGAATATCTTGTTGAATAAATAGCTTCCCCAAAAGTGTTTCTAGCAGTTTCTGTTGAGAAGCTAAAATTTGCTGCTGTTGTTGAAATTGTTGCTGCTGTTGCTGTAATAATAACCGTAACTGTTCTAAAGTAATCGCCATGCTTTTTTTTACTGCTAATAAAAATACTAATTCCAAAAAAATATAGCACCGGCAATTATTACAGCTTATTTCTTTCCAAGATCTGAGTCACCAATCGTTGTATTATTATTTTTTTTTGTGCCAAAATCCCCGTCGCCAATTTGTTATGATCCACCTATTAGAGAGTAGCGTATTATCGATCGGAACAGTGACGCATAAAATACAAGCGAGCAGCCTAGAGTCCTGATTGGTCCTGCTTTCCTGTCTAGCCCAGCCAACTAAGTCCAGAACACAAGTCTCAGTCTTGGAGATATGAATCGTTATATTTCAAACATACACTGTTTATATACCAAACAAACAGACTACATCGTACCATAAATAGAAAGTAACATTTGTATAAGATTTAACCTTCAGGAAATGACACAAATAAATATTGACCAATAGGGAGATGACACGTTGGAAGAATATTGACCAATGGGGAAATGACACAATTTCTCATTCAGGAATAGCATTCGATAATTTCTGGGGTATTTTCTGAATACCCCAACAGTGTGGAATAATTATTGTGTCTGAGATATATCTGAGTTACAAGACAACCAGTTGACTACAATAATCAAATCTTATCAAGTCGTACACGGTTAACAATCAAAGACGTTATCACAATTGATTGATCACTGGGTGACCAATGTCATGCGTGTCTAGTCCTTATAATTAGTGCAGATCGAATGCTATCGATCATGTTGCGATGTGGCCACCAGTCTAGGTGACTCGACATTGCGGGCACTATTGTAAGATTAGATGGTGGTTGGAGGGAGTCGACACGAAACCATGGACCCGGGTTTCGTGCTACTTGGCACTCGTCAGCAAGGTGTACCTGTAATCTTTGAGGGAACTGATGCTCCCTGGCGGATTCGATCAATCAATTGTGATTACATCTCAGTCCTACAGGAGGTCGGTCGCGGCCCGGATAGCTCAGTGGTAACGTCTCTGACTGTGAAGCTGGGTGACACGGGATCGAATCCGCCAGGGAGCACCAGTTCCCTCAAAGATTACAGGTACACCTTGCTGACGAGTGCCAAGTAGCACGAAATCCGGGTCCAGGGTTTCTTGTCGATTACCTCCAACCACCATCTAATCAAAGACGTTAAATATCATTAACCGATTGAGGTTCAACACTCCATATTTGACATGAATTACAATTTACAAATAAAAAATCTTACCCAACTGATAATGATTGATTTCGTCTAGCCAACATAACGGTCTTTAAAATCGCTTTACCCAATTCTCGAAATGAACAGGCACCTTCAAAATTACAAAAGTGTACAAATACATGGTACATACATATGGTGACGGATAAAGTGTTATCCTAGTTAGCTAACAGTAATCTTAAAATACACATAGTTTTTTTCAATTATATGACTTTTAGACATGCAGGTGCCATACGTTTCAGTTATAACTAAAACAAACACCGGAAGTACATGACAAGGCTTGCTGGCACGTAGTTTTTCGTTTTCTAGATATTTGTGCAAAGATTATAATAAACGCTAATTGAATAAAACTTTTCCAGGCGTTTCTGATCCACTCGGTTTTTTGACGAAGAATATCTTGGGACTCCTCCAACAGCACATTTGAAAATAAATAGCTCTGTTGGAGATAAATGTATTGTCTAATTCTGTATATATAAATCTCCATAACTTATCACTAGAAGTTCGAAGTCGAAGATTTACAGCTTAAATTCGAAACAGTAATTTATATTTTATTTAAACATGAAGGTGCAATTAAGCAGCTCCTTAAACTCTGTGAAATCAAACTTTATATAAGCCGAGAACAATATTTCATAGGCATTAAAAACGTGTATTGGAAGACAAAATTTAAGCAGATAACAAATAAAAAGGTCTTATCTACATATCAGAAGAACAGGCAATAACATATTTACACTGTAACCTATCAAATGGATTATTTCTCACAGATGAAGAATGCTTCAAAAGTCATTCACTATTAACTCTGCTTGTTTAGACTAGCTTCATTAGACTTCATATGAAATACTAGTGATGCTGAAGTATAAATTTTAATTGAAGCATGTATGCAATCATCTACAGCGTGATAGATAACAATTTTTAGCACAAATGCATCGGTTAGACCCTTTCTAGAATAACTAGAACTAATAATTATAAAGATTAATCATTTTTGATCTGATTAAACACGACGAAACAACAAATTACTTTAACTAGATAAACATAATAAGTCCCATAGTCTGCAGAATGAAAACGTACATGGATTAGCAAACAAATATGTAACTTTCTCTTCCTAATCTGTGACTCACCAACAGTGGGTATCCACGGCACCACAACAAGGGGTAGGACACCCAACCACTAGACCACTGAGTCGACAACCAATGGTTTACATTTTTTAACTTCAATTAATTCGTAATGTCGCGCAAACATCTCCTAATGTATGTAATAGATAACTGCTTAACACTCGGTATAATTGAAAAACACCAATCACAGCTTCTCACTAGAACTCGGAGATTACCTCTCGCAATTAGTTATTAGTGAACACATGATTATTAATTACTATGAAGGGGGTATATAGGTTTTTGAATTTTATAGTTAACATGATGATTTTAATCAAATGACCACTGAAAATCAGGAAGCCTTGATTGTTTAACTAACCTCAATCCATAACATTAACTGAAAAACAAACAACCTACAGAGATTATATACTAATCTCAGCATGTGATAGTATTGTAATAAGTACTATTTAGCTGACTACACAAAATAATAATCCTTCATTGAAAATATGTAGGTCAAAGGCTAATCTACAAACTTGTACTTTGGTTTTTAAGAGGCATTAAACAGAATTTTTAATAAGAAAATTGCGATGAATCGAGTCATCAAAAGTATAAATTACAAATAAATTAACAATCATATGAAGTACAGTATGACAAATTCACATTAGTGTAAATCATTCGCCTGAAATACTAATCACTATTAATTCCAAAGATAGAGAAGTGAACATGATATCAGTAGGTTGTGTCTTTCAATCTCTATTGTAATGAAAAAACACAGAATCATGCTCAAAAGTGTTCAAGGTTAAGCATTCCTCCAATTTAAACATGTTAGAGATGAAAACAAAAGAAAATAACTAGATTTACATGAAACATTCATACGATTATCAACTAAAATCAAAGTGAAAAAAAAAAACATGATAAGGATTACCACATGTTATAGAATAGGTGGATTATGGGTAGGAGGGGGAATCCAAAACTCATACTACGTCTTATTTGAGACTTATTAGCTGGATGTACATAGATCCCATTGTTGATGTTCACATTGAAACTTCCATCACAGTACTTTTCACTCCAAACGTTTCACAGACTATCTACTACTGAGTTACTGAGTCCAGACAGACATGAATTCATTCAACAGATGTAATGTTTAGATCAACAGAATAATTCAAACTGTTTTTTTTTAAATAAAGATCTAAATAACTAGATTTATTGTTATTAGTAAACGCGTTATTGAAATTACCTTTTGAAAAATCCATTATAAAACTATTGTCTTCTTGATTAAATTGACAAATTTGACAACCCATTGAAAAAAGGCATAAATTGCATAATTCCAAACACAGACTAGGTAATTCTTTACAACAAATGAATTCATAAAGCATTGGATCAATGAATTGATTCCATTTAATATTCTTTGAATTTTTCATTAGTTTACTTAGACAGGTAGTTAAAATTTGATCAATAGTCAAGAGAAATCCTGTAGAATGATATAACATAGGGGAAGAAATGTAAGTGATTTCTAAAAATTTAATCAGCATCTTTTTTTAAAGAAAAACAAATTCTTTTGGTAAGATATAAGTAATTATCATACAATAGATACAAAATTTATACGATAAACCTTATTCAACAGTGAATGAAAGGAAAGGTGAAAAATTCAATCCGAAATAGAAATAAGCATTTAAGATGAAAAAACATGAACAAAAGTAAATAAACCATACAATATTTGGTATATGGTTAACAGTAAGATTCATGACGTGTGTTTCATCCTATCTGGGACACATCAGCTAGACATTCCTGAAGCCCAGTATTGATGTTTGTATTGACACGCGAATCCAACACTTCATTTTGAACGCCAAAAGTATTTTCTATTGAGCTACTGAGAATATTAATACTGAGAGTTAGGTACATCCAGTTAACGAGTCCTAAGTACGACGAAGCAAATGACTTGAATTTCGTTGTTAGCCATTCATTAATTAAACCATAACATGCTGCAGTGGACGAGAACACCAGTGAGTACAACCGAATGTATTTGAACACAAAATTACAGAACCTCATAGTAAAATCTGAGAACCATACAGTAATTTTTTTATTTGCAAAGTGTCAGTCAATTGTCGTTTCCACACTAATCGTTCTCTGTTCTCGTTCTTTTTTCTTTGATCTTCTTAACCTTCTTCCGCCAGACATTTCACTTTCGATTGATGATACATACTACTTATATCTGTCGACGTCATCAGCACACACTAAAATGTGACTGAACGCCATATCGAGGTAATTCGCTGAGGATGCACATAAGGCAATAGAGATTAGTCAGTCTTGAATGTCAACATCTAGAAATTACTAACTTTTACTAAGACCAATCAAAATTGATATAAACGACTTCAATCCAAAGACGTGTACAAAATGTTACAGTCCATGAAGGTACATGCTTCTATTTTTATAATCAATATTTTTCATCCAATATACACAAAATTTCAAAATGCAAATGTTTATTTAGCAAATATACTCATTAATTAAATGTTTATTTAATAAAACTGCTATTTGGAATAAAACGATATAATGAAGTGTACCTCAAACATTAACAAAGATAAAGCATTCGATGATATATATATTCTATAAATAACATAAAAATTTCAGAATATTATCGATTAAAATAAAACAACTCTGTGGAAAAGAGAAACTGTTGAACCTGTTTTTGTTGACGCGGTTTTGTAGAGATTAGTTTAGACTGTAAGTTTTATTTATCTTAAATCGATCTCAGTTGGGAAAATATAAAAACACAGAAAGCACTGAACAGCTGTATCATCCAAGTATACAGTTCCTCAGCAGTGAGCATACATGACCCTAATAGGGACGGGACAAAAGAGTTTAATTTCTAGAGGCGAACCATTAACCATTAAAACAACTGAGTCAATGTTTAATCGAACGATTTAAATTTCATTCAATTTACAAGATGCCAAGCGTAGACTATCTAATGCTATTTGTGACAACTGGTTCACTCTCAGAGTCTCCAAAATTTACTAGCCACCGATTCTGGTGAGAAGTTTAGAAACACCCCGGAGTAAAACAATTATTACTTATACAAAGTGCTAAGTAGATTTTAAATTTTTTCAAATGAATTCTCAGAAAGACAGCACATTTAACCCATTGCTAGGAAGAACACAAGTTAAATAGTCATTTGTCAATAAACGGTGGTTTTAGCAAATGAGGATAACCGCAATAATATTGTTGTAATTCAGATGTCCACAATGAGCTTCACTATGATCTGATTGGTTATCATTACTTTGAAGTTTTTATTTTGTTGTGCCCCAACGTACTGCATATTACAATTTAAATAAAGTTAATCCATTTTAATCCTGATATCACTTTTGTTCGAAATATAAAGCTATCCTGAATATCTCGTTTTCCCTATGTCATATTCACCTGTGGATTATTAACGTTAAAGTGTTGCTATATTTCAGCTGACATACTGCCAATTTTATATTCGATCCCGTTTGTATTAGACATCTCAATCATTCATAACTAAAACTTACTGTAGGCCTAATCCAATCATCTTAAGAGGATGAGAATTTTTACTGCTTTCGTTCAGTAAATGCATATAAACATTTAGTATATACCAACAAAAAAAGATGAAACTAATCTTATCCAATTTGATAAGCCAATTATCTTACACTATCTAAACAGTTAAAAAGAAACACAGTGATACACAGATTTTGAAGGTAGAAAGCTTCTTTATCATAAATTTCGAAGATCTTTACTGATAAATAAATCATTGAAAAAGACAGGAAATTCAGAAAATCAATAATAACAATGTGTAATTCCTTTTTTAGTTGACAATAACAAAGGACCTTAAGATAAAACAAAACTCAACATTACTCTCATTCACAGCAAGTTTTTTTTGACAGCAAAATCTGATTTACTGGTTAACAATTGTTGTCAGAAATAAAACATTTGAATAAGCAAAGATGGATAGTGGCCAGCAGTGGAATACAGGACGCGCATTTCGTCGTATTTGAAACTCGTCAGCTGAATGTACGTGCATCTCACAGTTGATTTTCACTCTTGGACTCGAACCCAGTACCGTTCGTTTCAAACGCCATCGTATTATCCACTTAGCTACTGAGTCCTGATAGCCACTTGCTGGTGAAATGAGGTGAAGTTTAATTCACTTGTTGTTTTACTTGAATCTTCCCATTGATGTTTAGGACTGTAATTGATCAGTCTCTTATACTGTGTATTACCTCAATATTTCCTTAATTTACAAGCATATTTGATTATAATGCTTGTAAATTAAAGTAATATCGAGGCAATACGCACAGTATGCACATATGCCAATAAGAGACTAATCAATTGCAGTCCTAAACATCAATGGGAAGATTCAAGTTAAACAACACCAAGTGAACTAAAACTTTTGAATAGTTTACTTGATACAATATAATTTGAAAGGAATTCACAGTTATAGTATCCGGTAAATATGTGCAAGTATTATGTTCAAGTAGTTACGTTACATCACGGTTCAAATGATCATAGACTAGAATCAATTAGTACAGTAACAAAATAATTGAATATAGAAAGGACTGACAAGATGATATCAAAATAATAACAATATATTCATAACATCTTATCAATAAGTGGAAAATTTTGTGCAAATATGTAATTTATTCAAGTCAGTAATGCATCAAGAGATTCATTTATACGGCTACTTTATATATTAACGAATACATTTTTTGTTCAGAATTTAGCTATAATATATATATCAATGAGTTATTATCATTATTTTGTTATGGATATCTTAAAATCCTATTATGATTTGAAAATTCATCCAATTACTTCTATCTCCTTTAAATTAGATAAGATATCTCCTTATATATGCTATACAGGCCGTTATGTTCCGAAGTTATTTACAAACTACATATAGAGACGAAGTGTGTATAAATACCAACTTTCGTAGAAATAATCAAAGCCCTCTGATAAAAGACTATGCTTCATTTTATTGCATGTATATTTTGAGAACTGGCCAACTACTGTTTCCGATTAAAATTTAATACCGTTTTATAAATAGTATAGTTAGTCTTCAATCTCTAATTTATTAAGTGTGAAACATATCACCTATACACACTACTCTGCGAAATAACGTCTAAACATTAACAAATAAATCATACATTTGACGCTAATTTAAGGTCTATAGTGTATATTTATGCATACCCATCAAAAAATAAGTTATCAAAATACAAAATTTCACATTTTTTTGCTTACCTAGACCAGATTGAAACTGAACAACTTGAAGTAATTTACTACTAAACATGGTTAAATCAACATTACCAAGACTGTTATTGGTTATCCACGTTAATTCAGAAAATCTTTTTAATTTATTTAAAAACCACGTACTCATATATGCACCAAAGTAGGCAGAGTCCCATATTTCACTAGAATGAAATGATGTAAGGAATAATATATAGCTTAATAAATAGAACTGCATAGAACACGCGTGAATGTTGCAGAGTAAAAAGCTTAGTGATTTTTAATTTAAAATAGACAGAAAAGTTAAATTCTGTAAGCATCGTGATTACGGATAAAATTTATGGCTTTTACAGGTCAACAAATGAACTATACAGAGATAAACATGATAACAACTAAATCCCCATAAGTTACTTGAGTCAAAAAATAATGTACAGTTGTGAGTTATGTCAGAAAAAGACAGAATAGAGATAACATACTAATAAAGTATTCAGTAGTTAAAGTCTAACAACAAATTTAAATGTAACAAACGTACTTGATGGAACAGAATGTTAAAATATTCGCTCCAGATGTATAAACTGAACACCATGGAGTATCGCACCATGCACATGCAAAACCAATCATAGTGGGATAAATCGCTTCCTTCAATGCATCTTTATTTTCAATCCAATGATCATAAATAATCGATAAAATTTGTGACTGCAGCTAAAAAGATTAAAGAGAAGTAACGACAAGGTAGAGTTTGCGTTGAATAAGATTGATCTCTTTCATAATTTCCTAGCAATTATGCAGATTTATCCAGGCAAGCCTAGATTTGACTAAAGCAATATAAATATCAATTAGTTAGAACAAAAGGCTATACGCAGATGTTGAAATAGATTACTTAAATTGCTATGAAATCCAAGTACATAACCACTGTTAACATCAAATTTGCAATGAAAAAAATAAACGATATTACTGTCAAAATAAAGCCAACAAAAATTCAACTAGTATTTACAGGCGATAATGCACATGAAACGATCGACCAATTATTAAGAATTTCCCTTACTAAAACATACAAAGTTACAGAGCTTGTTTCTTTAGAAAACAATAACATTCAAAAATAGACCATTCTGATTTTGTATCATTCGTAATTGTATCTAAAAGGTAGTATCAAAGGTTAGTTAATGTATAGAAGATAGAGGGTATTTGTATTATTTAAAACGGCCTTGAGCTTCTGGATGTTTCTGAGAAGCTTCTATTCAATGATGATTAGATAAAATGTTACACAGTATTTTATAGGCCCCTATGTACTTTTTCAAGGAATAATTTGGTCGCCCCAACAGTAATCACTGAACGTATATCCTTTATAAAAAATATAAATATCACAAGCCACATATAATTCATTGAAGAAAACATTTAAGTGTGAGAGCACATCTGGTCACAAACCTGGTCAACAAACACATATAAAAATAACGTTGATGAAACGTTTTATTTTTCCGCGTAATTATAACTTACATCTGAGCTTACATAAAGAAGTCCATTCAATAAATTTCGTAATAAATTAGTCGATTTGTAGTCCCAATTAAATCGTGCAGAAATGTTATCGATTAATGTTCTTAAATTGCATAATGAGTCTAATTTCAAATGGATTTTGCAGAGGGGGGAAACAAAAAAGACAATGATATCATTTGTAATATTCACAATTATCACTTAAACTACAAAAATGTATTTACCAAAAACAAATTGATGTTGAATTATTGAGTGATTATTATTTGCTATTTACAGGTTACAAACAATAAAAAAGTGAATAAAAACACCATCCACTTTATTCTCATCTACATATTTAATAGTTCGCTTTGCAACACATTTAACATATTCAAAAAAATTATATTTTAATTAAGACCACGGACCGATCAATGTTAGACCGCTATTGTAAACCTGGAAGAACTGAACGAACTTCTCAGCAGTGTGTATTCACGATCCCTGACGCTGGATTCCAACACAGAAACATCGGTTTCGTGCGTGAACGCCCGATCTCTAGACCACTTAGCCGGCATCTAACTTCAATCAACCCACGATATCGTACGACCATCTTCCATTGTATTAAGCGGGTAACTATTTCCCACCAGACATGGTTGAACTCCACTGGTCACGGCTTTTCACTAGAACTCCGAGAATCAACTCTCGAAGCTAGTCACTAGTGAGCACATGATTATATGGAAATAATTCACTCAGTGATTCTAGGTACAAAAAAAGATATTGGCATATGGTACTTTGATAATAGTTACTCGGACCTTGATAACTTCCTTGGAGCATAACTAAAACAGAAAGACAACTGACATTTCTATAGATATCACTTGATTGCTTGTCCTTGCAGTTAATAACCAACTCCTGGCCACTTATACCGTTTACTAGATTTTTTACCACCTGTATAACTATTTTAAGTGTTTCCACCTAAAAATTTATTTAAAGTTTTTATTTTCAACTCTCTTGAAACTCAATCTCAATGAATAAAGGTAATTTAAATGTTTATCTCTAACTCACAAACAAATAAAATACAAAAAAAATCACTGTTTTGTGAAAAATGTACAAATTTGTTACTTGCAATTGTTCGATGTATTTATTATTTATTTATTTGAACACATAAATATTGGTACAAGGGGGCACCAAATATATATGCGCCACACAAAACAATGATAATTTGAAGAGAAGGAGGAAAAAAAGTAGTGAACGTAGGGAATTATAAAAAAAAGAGAGAGAACAATAATGGGGGAAACGGAAAATTACAATCAGACGAAATCTTTCAGTTAAGGAAGAAGCAACCACTTTTTACGAAGAAAGTAAAAGAAGGTTACAGCAGGATCGCCACTGCCTTTCACTCTGAGCCATATCTGATAACGTCTCTAGCCACTGTGTTACACCGTCTCTCGGACCCCAAACAGGGAGTCGTGAAGGACCAACAGAAGCTAGCCCTTTGCAGCTTTCTTTCATACCACGACACCATGTCATATACTGACCACCTCTCCGCATTTTCCAACCAGTCTCAGGGTCGGCAAATAATGCACGACGAGGAATTCTCTAGGACGACATTCGTAGAACATGTCCAAGCCACCGAAGTCAGTGTTTCAAGATAGTGACACCAATTGCATTATCGTCTCTGTGCCCGAACACACGATGCCCAACCTCTGCATTACTAACATGGTGTTGCCACTGAATGTCAGCAATCCTTCGGAGACAACGATGATCGAACACAGAGAGTCGTCTAACATCCTCAACTCGGAGAGGCCAGGTTTCACAAGCATAGAGCAAAACTGCTCTCACCGACGCGTTGTAGATCCGACCTTTTACAGCCAGACTAACATCACGAAGGCGCCAAAGGTGGCCCAGATTGGCATAAGCCGCTATGGCTTTCACTATACGTGCATTGATCTCATCACTCACACCACCACCAGCACTTATGCAGCTACCTAGATACACGAACTTCTCGACTACTTCTATCTGCTCACCATCCAGAGTGAGTACAAGATTAGAATCCTGCCAGTCTTGTAGAAGTACTTTGCACTTCGAAGGTGCAAAGCACATACCATACCTACGGACACTGATTGCCAACTGATTAAGTGAGGATTGCATAGCTTAGGCATTCTCGCACAATAAAACAATATCATCCGCATATTCAAGGTCGAGAAGTCTTTCTCCAGGCAACAGATCCACACCATCATTACTTACATCCATCAGAGCTGTTTCCAGAATGTCATCGATGGCAAAGTTGAAGAGGAATGGTGAGATTGGGCAACCCGGCCTAACCCCACTGCTCGAATGGAATAATGGAGAAAGGTGGTTGTATGCCCTCACTCTGCCTGAGGTGTTTGTGTATAGGGCTTTTAGGACGTTAATAAACTTCTCAGGCACACCCTTCTTCAACAGACAATCCCAGAGAACAGTCCTATCCAACGAATCGAAGGCAACCCTGATATCAAGAAACACTACGATTGTTGGCCTTTGATAAATATGACGGTGTTCCAACATTTGGCGGAGGGTGAAGATATGATCAATACATCCTCGACCAGAACAAAACACAGCCTGCTTCTCCTGAGTCAATCCTTCTCGGGTTTTGAACAACCTACGAAGTATAACGGAAGCCAATAGCTTGGACGCAATCGGAAGTAGACTTATCCCCCGATAGTTGTTACAGGAACGACGTGAACCCTTTTTAAAGATAGGGACAACTATCGACTCATTCCATGACGTTGGTACACTCTCTAGTTCCCAGATCTTTGTAAACAACGTCGTCAGTTCCTTAGTCAGAAATTCACCACCATCTTTAAAAAGAGCCGGAGGTAAGTCGTCTGGGCACGGTGATTTGTAACGTTTCAAGAGTTGGAGTTCCTTGCGGACTTCCGCCTCATTTGGTGGATCAGTCGTCACCGGCCATGGAGGGTAGGACGATTTGACCGGTGTTGCCGGAGCAGCAGGCCAGTTGAACTGCCTCTCGAAAAATTCTGCCCATCGTCCAAGACGTCGATGGATGTTAGTGATTGGCGTTCCGTCATCCTCGCAGATTGTTTCGCTCACACCAGACTTCTTGCTGCTAGTGGCTCGGATGAGTTGAAAGAGCTTCCGGTAATTACCAGATGCAGCTGCTGCTTCCAGCTCATTAGCACGCTCCGACCACCAGGCTTCACGGTCCTTACGCAAGCTTTGCCCGACTTCATTACGTAACAGCCTTCGTCTGTGGTCAAACTCACGGTCACCCAGAGTAGACCGACGGGCTTCAATCAGTTGTAAGGAACCAGAAGAAACCCAGTGCTTGTAAGCGGGACGTTTCGCGAACCCACAACTGACTGTACCCGCCATTTTCATGGCGTCATACAATCGCAACCAATGCTCATCTATACTTTTCGGTGGAATGGTAGCTAGCCTAGAAACTAGCTCGGTTCGGTACTTACTAACAACAGAAGTTGTAACCAGCTTGCTAACATCAATCCTTTGGTGGCGGTCACTTTGTTGTCCACTGAAAAGTAAGGTAAGATTGGCGCAAACCAGGGCATGATCAGACTCCAGATAGGTACTCCAAAAGGAGCGGCAGTCTTGTACACAACCACACCAGCGGTAGCTGATCGCGATGTGATCAATCTGAGTCCAGGCTTCAGATGCAGAAGGAGGACGCCAGGTGGCACATCGGCGATGACTGTGCCGAAAGTTAGTGCTAGCCAGAAACAGGTTGTGGTCTGTGCATAGTTGCAGTAGACGTTCCCCGTTATCTGTCCTGCGACCAACGAGTCCCCATCGGCCACCTAAACGACTCTCTTCTGTGCCTAGACGCCCGACCTGAGTATTCAAGTCTCCGGCTAGTACTACAATATCTGTCGAACGCACTTTCTTGAGAAGAACAGTTAACTGGTGGTAGAATTCATCCTTGATTGCATCCGGGCTTCAGTCTGTCGGGGCATAGGCGGAGATGACGAAAAGACATCGTTTCTCACGCCGATTTCTTCTCACTTTGATGGAACTTTCTAATCTAACAGCACATAATCGACTGCTAATGGAGATCCAACCGATTAGTGCTGCCTCAGCTCTAGCGCTTAGTGCGACACCAACGCCAGCAAGACCAGACGAAGATACCACAGGGTCCCCGGATAACCGCACATAAAACAAGCTTTTTGAAGTGACGGATGGAGAGCGTACTTGTAGTACTTCACCAGAGTCTTGAATACGGGTCTCGGATAGAAAACACACGTCAATATTAAGACTTTCCAAAGACATAGCCAGCCCTATCTGTTGTACGACCTGCACAAGTGTGCGAACGTTGAAGGCAGCCAGTTTGAATGGTACACGTGGTTTCAGAAAAACTGCTTCAGTACTCGTATTCGGTGGTAACATATAATTTTCAACCAGGCAGTGACTCGAGAACGTTTAGATAGAGTCGAATATTCACCATAGGCGAGCTGCTGTTTAAGTCGAAACGGATACAAAAAGTAGAAATAGGAGAGAGTGAATAAATGAAGTGGTAAAATAATAATAATAATGATAATAATAATAATAATAATAATAGTAATAATAATAGCGATAATAATAACAATAATAATAGTGCGAGTCATTTCAGTGTGAATCGGATCGAAAAGAATATTTTGCGTGGGCTAGGATACAGCCCGGGTGCATAGAGCGAAGCAGGTGGTTTTCTTAGGAGGCCACACCCAGAGCCTTTGACCTAAAGGTCTAGTCCACAAGGCAGTGGAGCATCGTGAGGAGATGCAGTTCCATGGAAGGCAGTGACCAAAAATTGGTTCATACGCCATTTGTTCCCGCAGAATACTGGTGCCCATGTGCACCATTGATTTGGGATCCGGTTAGAGCGCCGGACATTCGCTTTTCGTCCTCTCATTTTTGTAAACAACACCCCCGCCACGAGAAGGCAGGAATAGATTTGGAAAGAAAATAAAAGACATGAAGAATACAGAAGATTAGAGTTTGAGAGAACACAGAGAGTGGATGCACCTGCGCCATTGCAAACGATTTTGAGCCATGTCATTCAAGGTCTCTAACCATCGGTTGCTATCGTTTCGCGGTCCCCAACCAAGTAGTCTACACCTACCAACATGACTCAGTCCACTTGTCAGTGACTTCATGGATTTGTGCCATGTCTTGGTCTGGCCGCCCCTAGCTTTCTTCCAACCTACTCCCACACCATAGAACATCGCACGTCGGGGCAGTCGGTGGTCGGGCATGCGCAACACATGCCCCAGCCATCTCAACTGATTAAGTTTCACTACTTCCTCAATTGATTTGCCATCCTTACCTAGTACCCGTTTCCTAACAACTGCATTACTTACTCGGTGGTCCCAGGATATACGATCGATGTTTCGAAGACATCTATGATCAAATACTAGTAACCTACGAATATCCTCTACTCTTGCCGGCCATGTTTCACTGCCATAAAGTAGGACGGAACGAACTGCTGCGCAGTAAACCCGTCCTTTGGTTGATAGACGGATATCTCGCCTACGCCACAAATGACGCAAGTTGGCAAAAGCTAGTCGAGCCTTCTGTACCGTGCTGAGATTTCATCACACACCAGACTACAAGGGCTGATGGGACTTTCCAGATAAGTGAAACGGTCGACACGCTCAACTACTTCACTCCCTATCACTAGTTCGGATGTCGACACAACCCAATCCTGAAGCAACATTTTGCATTTCGAGGGAGAAAATCGCATGCCGAACATGCTTGCATTGTTGCTTAGAGTGGTCAGCAGACTCTGCATTTTGTCAGCGTCTTCACCAAATAGAACTATGTCATCGGCATATTCTAAGTCAACAAGTGGATCTCCCGGTAGAAGTTCAACTCCTGGAAATTTAGATGAGGAAAGTGTCATCTCTAAAAGGACGTCAACGACAAAGTTAAACAAGAATGGAGAGAGTGAACAGCCCTGACGAACACCACTTGAGGTAATCAATTCTGATGACAGTTCACCATAAGCTCTCACTCGACCAGTTGTGTTCGAGTAGAGAGCTTTTATAAGGTTAATGTACTTCTTTGGTACTCCCTTCAGTGACAAACACTGCCATAGAACCTCACGATCAACAGAGTCAAATGCCGCCTTAAGGTCGAGCAATACTACCATTGTGGGGCGTCTGAATGTGTGTCTATGTTCTAGGACCTGACGTAGTGTGAATATCTGATCTATACAACCACGTCCAGGTCGAAAACCAGCCTGGATTTCTCTAGTCTGCTCTTCACGAGCTTTGGTTAGACGTCGAAGTATTATTGAAGCTAATATTTTAGACACTATATTAGTCAAACTAATTCCTCTGTGACTGTCACAAAACGACTTTTTTCCTTTCTTATAGACTGGCACAATCAGTGATTGAGACCAGTCAGATGGGATTACATCCACTTCCCAGATTCTATCTAAGATCTCAGTCAATCTCGCTGCTAATACCGGACCACCATCCTTAAAAATCTCAGGGGTAAACCTGTCAGGGCCTGCTGCTCTCCCACGCATCATATTTCCTATAGCTTTTTCAACTTCGTAAAGAGTCGGAGGACTTACATTAATTTGCCATTCAGGTAGATTAGAGATCGTGGGAAATCGAAGTATGGCTGAAGGCCAGTTGAACTGATCCCTAAAGTGTTCTGCCCATCGATCCAATCTCCTGGATTGAGGATGAAATAATATGTCCATCTTTTTCGGAGATAGTTTCGCTAACAGTTGGGTTCCTAATCCCGGTTTCCTTAACAAGTCTGAACAGTTGCCTGCTGTTACCTATTGCCACTGCCTTTTCCATCTCTCTTGCTTTCGCTACCCACCACTGTTCACGATCATTGCGCTCTTCGTTATGTTCAGAGCCAGATGGAATGAGTTTTCGAGCATCTATCAGTGCGGTAGATGCTGCTGAGATCCAGTGTTTCTCCCTAACCTTATGGTTTACCGTACTTGCAGGCATCAATTACATGGCTGACTAACTGTTTTTCTAGTTTTCTTAAAATATACTGTTAGCTTGACTAAAAGATCTATACCGCTCACAAGCAATTATTGCTTAATCATGTGGACTGGGTCAATTTTGAATGAAGAGAGATTTAAATTCCACGAAATGGTGCGGGGGAAGGTATGAGAAGTCAGACATTCCTTACTCTAACTACAAAACAGGCCGTGAAATGCGATTTTGGAGACCAGCTGCAAATTCAATTTCATGATTGTTTGATTATTAGAATCAGAATTCCGAACTCAGAAAGGAAGTTAATCCGAAAAACTAAAATCTCACTTCAAGACATTAAAGCAGTCTGTATTCATTATGAAACAGTGAATGAAATTAATTTTTAATCGGTGAAAATTGCTGATACTTTGCACATTTGTCACAATGAAGTTTATTTTCAAGATCGCTCAAATTTGGGTTTAAGTAATAATGGTTCTCATTCTCGTGAATATATTGGAAATAATTTGTCGAAGAATCCCAAGTTTAGCAAATTTTTATCAAGTGATGGATTCCATTCATGAAAATCATGTGTATTTCATAATGTTAAATGCTTTAAATGTGGCAAGGTTATTCATAGGCAACTTTGTTGATTGCATTATAATACACTAGTGTTGCTGCAGATACACTTTTTATGAAATAACTGTAAAGAGCTATACACTAACTACCTTCGATATATAACATACTTCGGAGGTTCTACTCAGAAAAACATGTAGTAAACAACTAAAAATTACTTCTCTGGATACAAAAATTAATAGTCAGAGCATTTGATTAACATTACTATAGTTATAAATGCACATTAACATATAAACGACGCAAAATGTATATCAACCATCTATTTTTCGGATGATTTACCTTTACCAAATTCTGATCTCCATTTACTGGATTTTTTATTCCATGGACCATTCGGTGTTAAATTGAGAACACCTAATGCAATTTCAACAATATCCAACAAAAGTTTCGCGCGTTGATAACTCATCCCTGGCCAAAAGTAAGTGTGTATACTTGTAGTTACTTTTATGTCAATAGTATTTTGACTGCCTGTTCGAGTATGAATAGTAGTGATGCGACACATTGAACTGATAAAACGTATTAGTTTAACTAAAGAAATTAAAAAAATTAAAATGAAACTGAGTGATGTTAGTTTCTATGATGGAATTAAAAGAAACGGAATTTACTGATATGATTGATAACTGTTCTCCTTTAATAAGCCATGATGGATGTTGGTTAACCGTAGCTGCTACCTTGACGTGGTGGTCGGGCTTGCCTATCGTGATGATCCAACCGAGCTATATTGGCTGGAACACATGTTCCTGCAGGTTCTACCATGCCAGGCAGGTCAATTGGAGAACGGTAAGACTAAAAGCAGCAACTCAAGGTCTGAGGGCGAAGTCGTACTGCTGACTGTACAGAGGTGTGACAGCAGTAAGGTGTTTCCCTCGGGCAACCAGCATCTGCAGCGATGCTGCCTTCTCACAAGGAAGGAAGGGGTTAGAAAAGGTTGGCCCTAAAAATGTCACACCTCACCTTACCCCACGGATTTCCGTCTCCGGCGGTAAGGCCCTTTGAAGAACGGAGCTAACACATTAAAAACCTCCCACAAAAAGGCCGTGCGCGACCGGCCTCAAGCAGTTGTCCCTTGGGCTCTGCGGTCACGCACTCAGGTCGCTAAGACCAACACTAATCCGACTTCCTTTTCAGGTTCCTCAAGAAATACCCTTCCATGGTGTGGGCAACCGGGAAGTGATTTCAGCCCTCATACCCGTAACAGCACACGAGACCAAGTTGGTCACATTCAAATTCTTCCTACACCTCCTAATAACTCTCTTATCTCCACGACTAACCCTTCTTACGTCCCTTTATCACCTCGCCCCGTTAGTGCGAACGATTCGAGTACACGGAATGTTATTCCTGGTCTCCTGAAACCACGCTCCAAACTACACGTAGGAGCTTTCAACGTCCGAACACTGTGCCGAATAGAACAACAGGCTTCCTTAGCTAAGACTTTAGAATCTCGCTCCATCGATGTGTGCTGCATCTCCGAAACGCGCACACAGGATCCTAGTAGTGTCATTCATTTGACCGCACCATGTGAAAGTAACGAACCAACTCGATTTACGCTTCGTGTATCTGGAAGCCCTGATGCTGCTTCCCGTGGCCTCGCTGGCGTAGGTATAGCATTGAGTCCTAGGGCAGAACTAACTCTCTTAGACTGGATCCCAGTAGACAGTCGTTTGTGTGCTGTCCGACTAAACGGAACAGTAAGGACTCGAAAAGATAGGGACACTCGTCGTTGCGTCTTCGTCGTCTCTGCCTACTCTCCCACTGACTGCAGCTCAAATGATGTAAAAGATGAGTTTTACAGAAAGCTTTCCGACCTTCTCCGAAAAGCTAGGCGTTCAGATGTAGTAATAGTGGCTGGTGACTTTAATGCTCAAGTAGGTAAACTAAGCGAAAAGGAAAGACACCTGGGTGGATCTTATGGTGTCGCGGTTCAAAGAACAGATAACGGCGACCGTCTGTTGCAGCTATGCTCAGATAACCGCCTGTTTCTTGCAAACACTAACTTTAAGCATAAGGAAAAACATCTTTTAACATGGCGACCCCCTAATTCGTCTCAACGCTGGACCCAAATAGATCACATCGCTATCAGCCACCGATGGAGGGGCTCGATAGAATACTGTCGCTCATTCTGGAGCACATGCTCAGACTCAGATCATGGTCTAGTGCGAGCGCGTATTTGTCTACGTCTTACTGGCCGTAGGAAAGATGGTACAAGGAAACCCCTTAGGGTCCTACTTAATGATAGTCAAGCTAAGAGTATATTTCAGGAACATCTAGAAAAACAGTTAGTCAGCCATGTAATTGATGCCTGCAAGTACGGTAAACCATAAGGTTAGGGAGAAACACTGGATCTCAGCAGCATCTACCGCACTGATAGATGCTCGAAAACTCATTCCATCTGGCTCTGAACATAACGAAGAGCGCAATGATCGTGAACAGTGGTGGGTAGCGAAAGCAAGAGAGATGGAAAAGGCAGTGGCAATAGGTAACAGCAGGCAACTGTTCAGACTTGTTAAGGAAACCGGGATTAGGAACCCAACTGTTAGCGAAACTATCTCCGAAAAAGATGGACATATTATTTCATCCTCAATCCAGGAGATTGGATCGATGGGCAGAACACTTTAGGGATCAGTTCAACTGGCCTTCAGCCATACTTCGATTTCCCACGATCTCCAATCTACCTGAATGGCAAATTAATGTAAGTCCTCCGACTCTTTACGAAGTTGAAAAAGCTATAGGAAATATGATGCGTGGGAGAGCAGCAGGCCCTGACAGGTTTACCCCTGAGATTTTTAAGGATGGTGGTCCGGTATTAGCAGCGAGATTGACTGAGATCTTAGATAGAATCTGGGAAGTGGATGTAATCCCATCTGACTGGTCTCAATCACTGATTGTGCCAGTCTATAAGAAAGGAAAAAAGTCGTTTTGTGACAGTCACAGAGGAATTAGTTTGACTAATATAGTGTCTAAAATATTAGCTTCAATAATACTTCGACGTCTAACCAAAGCTCGTGAAGAGCAGACTAGAGAAATCCAGGCTGGTTTTCGACCTGGACGTGGTTGTATAGATCAGATATTCACACTACGTCAGGTCCTAGAACATAGACACACATTCAGACGCCCCACAATGGTAGTATTGCTCGACCTTAAGGCGGCATTTGACTCTGTTGATCGTGAGGTTCTATGGCAGTGTTTGTCACTGAAGGGAGTACCAAAGAAGTACATTAACCTTATAAAAGCTCTCTACTCGAACACAACTGGTCGAGTGAGAGCTTATGGTGAACTGTCATCAGAATTGATTACCTCAAGTGGTGTTCGTCAGGGCTGTTCACTCTCTCCATTCTTGTTTAACTTTGTCGTTGACGTCCTTTTAGAGATGACACTTTCCTCATCTAAATTTCCAGGAGTTGAACTTCTACCGGGAGATCCACTTGTTGACTTAGAATATGCCGATGACATAGTTCTATTTGGTGAAGACGCTGACAAAATGCAGAGTCTGCTGACCACTCTAAGCAACAATGCAAGCATGTTCGGCATGCGATTTTCTCCCTCGAAATGCAAAATGTTGCTTCAGGATTGGGTTGTGTCGACATCCGAACTAGTGATAGGGAGTGAAGTAGTTGAGCGTGTCGACCGTTTCACTTATCTGGAAAGTCCCATCAGCCCTTGTAGTCTGGTGTGTGATGAAATCTCAGCACGGTACAGAAGGCTCGACTAGCTTTTGCCAACTTGCGTCATTTGTGGCGTAGGCGAGATATCCGTCTATCAACCAAAGGACGGGTTTACTGCGCAGCAGTTCGTTCCGTCCTACTTTATGGCAGTGAAACATGGCCGGCAAGAGTAGAGGATATTCGTAGGTTACTAGTATTTGATCATAGATGTCTTCGAAACATCGATCGTATATCCTGGGACCACCGAGTAAGTAATGCAGTTGTTAGGAAACGGGTACTAGGTAAGGATGGCAAATCAATTGAGGAAGTAGTGAAACTTAATCAGTTGAGATGGCTGGGGCATGTGTTGCGCATGCCCGACCACCGACTGCCCCGACGTGCGATGTTCTATGGTGTGGGAGTAGGTTGGAAGAAAGCTAGGGGCGGCCAGACCAAGACATGGCACAAATCCATGAAGTCACTGACAAGTGGACTGAGTCATGTTGGTAGGTGTAGACTACTTGGTTGGGGACCGCGAAACGATAGCAACCGATGGTTAGAGACCTTGAATGACATGGCTCAAAATCGTTTGCAATGGCGCAGGTGCATCCACTCTCTGTGTTCTCTCAAACTCTAATCTTCTGTATTCTTCATGTCCTTTATTTTCTTTCCCAATTCATTCCACTGGACTATACTCCTTTAATAACATCATCAAACCTTAATGTCCCCTATCTCTACTTATACTTTCAGTACCTCTACCACTATGGGATTTGAATCGATAACTAAATTCATGTGCTAATGTGGTATGGCAACTCGAGCTGATGTACGTACGTACGAAGTTCCACGTTGTTACTGACTGACTGACTGAGAGCGCTTTGTCATATCTAGGACTCGTCAGGTGGATCCCGGAGTTGATGTTCACTCTACATTTCACTTTACATTACGCTCTGCACATTATCCACTAACGAGCTACTGAGTCCAGACAGTCACTGATTTGTGTAATCGGGTGAATTTTAATTCATATCTACCCGTTCTTTGAATCTTTCTATTTATGTTTACGATTGTAGTTCATCAGTCTCTTTTCACCATGTGGTCTTGGATCCGAGTCCCAGAAAGAACACCAACTCTGGGATGAGACAGTTACATCCAGCCAATGAGTCCTAAACAGGGCAGAATGCAAGACCTGGATTTCGTTGTTAGTCACTATCTATCTCTGCTTCAAAACTGTTTGTGACTTAATGGTAAATATCGAAGTAATCCACACAGGATGCAAATAAGCCAAAAGATACTGATCAATTAGAGTATAAACCAATACATGATTCACTCTACAAAGATCATTTTAATTTCATCATTAATAAAATGATTTGATAAACAATTATCTTCATTTTATTCACTAACCATCGACAAAATAACTGGTTCCAAGGTTGACAATATGCCCATTGATCAACTAAACGGAAATTTTGCATGGATACCTAGATTTTAAAAACTGCCATCTAATCTGGGCAGATGGAACTAGTTAAGTAAGTGAAGTAGTTAACGCACTTAATTACTTTGCTTCTTGTTCAAACACATGCCGACACACAAATTCTGAAGAGTAAGTGTACTGAGTGGACTCCAAACATTATTACAATGATGTTATTCTTACGTTTTATATCGTATTTATTCGAGTTTTAATTTCGTTCTTTCTTGCCAATAACTTTTATACAATACCCTCCTTTTCCACTCTTAACGTTATTAACTTGATAGTTTACTGACATTTATTCTGATAACTAGTAAGCTTAAATACAATGGTTCTACGTTTATCATGTTCCTTGTGCGCTCTACTGTACAAAATAACAGTCTAGAGCAGAAATAGTGAGAAATCTTCTGACATATAATTTGTCTTTTATCCATTATTGCCTCGAGTCCAACGAAATAGAACAAGCTATTAACAGTCACTTGGACCCTTGGCACTGTTCAGGAACGTCATATTAAGAAAAAGTAGTTTCCCAGTGTTTCCTGGTTTTCAACAGCTCTCTAACTAAAGTAAATTCGTGTTGTGAAACTTTAAGTTTCCATCGGTTACCCAATAACAAACAAATCATTTTAGTCTCTTACATAGTCATTCACCCGTTTCTAATTATTTGACAATCTGTTACATTTTGCCCTTTATACAAATAGTCATCGTCCTGAGAATTCACAATCCGGAATAACAAAAAAAAATTTTTTTGAAGTTTCGAACCTTCAGTCAATGTGAACACCGAACACGCATGTAAACTAATTATAATTATTATAACTTAACTATCATTTACTACCAATGTGCACCTACGAGTAGTATTACACAATTACTTGCCCGATTTGTCTGAATCACTATACAGTTACGTATTATTCAGTATTATGTGAAGCTACTACTCGGTTTCAGTATCATCAACCGATAAATATTCGCTGTTATTCTAACAATCAAGTCAACAATAACTTGACAGTTTTGAAAAAACGAGAAAAACTCATTGATTTATTTTAAAAAAAGAATGAAGACGTTTCGACGAAATAAATTTTCTTTTCGACATTATCATTTTTCGGAGCTGCACAATCGTATTTATAAATAAATTTTCATGTAGTGGTCCACAGTAAAATAGAGAAGTTTTATTAAATTATTAAAGACAGTCAAACTTATTCAAGACTACCAGATGAAAAAAATTACTTGAAAATACGATTGTATAGCTCCACAAAATGATATCACCGAATAAAAAATTCTCTCCACTGAAATGTATTTATTCTTTCTAACAATAACTATTTACCATCGTTATTGCTAAACCGGCCAAGAATAACACAATATACCTACATAAAATGGGTTGAATTATTTTTTCTGGTTAGCGTTTTTTAAGCGAGTTAGTTTCCTACGGGATGGTGTCACTAACCCCATGCCCAATCCTTCTCCTTTAACCCGGTTCTGGACCGGCAGTTACTTTAGAAGAGCTACAGGAGAACGTGAAGACAGTTCTACTGTACGGAGCTGAATCTTGGAGAACTACCACAACTATCATCAAAAAGGTACAAGAATTTATAGATAGCTGTCTACGCAAGATACTCAACATCCATTTGCCGGATACCATCAGCAACAGCCTTTTGTGGGAGAGAACAAACCAGCTTCCAGCTGAAGAGGAAATCAGAAAAAGACGATGGAAATGGATAGGACATACATTGAGGAAATCATCAAACGGCATCACGAGGCAAGCCCCAACTTAGAATCCTGAAGGGAAGCGGAAAAGAGGAAGGCCAAAGAACACATTATGTCGGGAAATAGAAGCAGATATGAAAAGGATGAATAAGAACTGGAAAGAGCTGGAAAGGATTGCCCAAGACAGGGTTGGATGGAGCATGCTGATGGGTGGCCTATACTCCTCCACAAGGAGTAACAAGTGTAAGTAAGTAAGTAACCTACATAAAATAAAATAAATAAACACTTGAAAAATAACTTACCTAAATATAATACATCATTTTCCTGCATATTTAAAACATTCTCATCTTTTATCCTGTTCAAATCAAACAAATTATCAAACTCTTGCAAACACATCTCAGTATCTGATAAACAAATAATACGTTGATTATTACTATTACTAAGATTATCTTTATTCGATATTTCTATGCTATTATTGAAACGAATAGATTTACATATAATTCGTATACATTCTGTTAAACTGGAGAAAATTTTTTGAAACTGATTACGATAAGATGGATTTGAACAATTGTTAAATGTATTACAACAATTTAAAAATATATCCATAAAAATTCGGGTAGTAGAAATGTTGGACAGTATAAAATTCGTCGATTCTTCACCATTATTATTATTATTATTATTTGCTTTACTTTTCGCATGTAAATATTTGCATAAAAACTTATGAATTCCATTCAATGCTAATATACGTACACAATCATTATGATGTGAAGCGCTGTGTGTTAAAATAGTAGGTACCTGGGAAACAATAAAAATTGGATTACAAAATAATTTAAATACTATTCGTAACGAATAATAATAAAGCATAAAAATATTGCATGTAATTAGTATGTATAATTAACTAAAACTATACGTAATTATGGTTGAAACTTAGCAGGTATTCCAATGTTTACTTGCAGTTAAAACAGCCCGTTAAGATGAGCCTACATGTTTTCGGTGTGTGTGTGTATGCGTAGACAGTTTGTACTTCCCATGTATCCACATCCCAGAAGGATATCTCCTCTTGATGAACTTTATAAAGGGACTGTACTGAAATTAATAAATTCTCTGATCCAACAGTTCAAAACTGCAGAGTCGATGGGATAACTGCTTCACGTCAGTGAAATATGACCGATATATTATACTAAAATACTTAGCTAATATAATGTAGTAAGTATGAAGAATGCACGTAGAACTAACCAGCTGTTTCACTGACAATGGTAGATCGTAATAATCTTTCAGATTATATAATCGTAACCAAACAAGCAATTTTCGTTCACTCATATCAGAATATTGATCATCTTTTGAGTTGAGAAAAGTCAAAGAAAGATGTTCAAGCAGTTGATCAATTAAAAGATCATTTTTAGGTAACTGTGAAGCTTCCAAATCGGATACAATCAAAACATTTTCCAATACATCTGAACTAGGTAGCAATGTGAATTGACTATTCAAACAACTATGAATAAAGTTATCCCAGCTTGTATTCTGTAAAACAAATGCAATGAAAAATACAAAGAAACAACTAATTACCTATGAGTGGTAAATATCACTTATTACAAACTCTTATTATGTGCTGCACAATGTAATTGATGATATAAAGTCTCAAACAGTTTAGGAATGTCCACAAAGTCCCATAAAAAACTACGGATCGATGACTTAAGAAGACACACAAATCGATAGCAACTTCATCCAACCCGTTTTTACGCTTGCCTCCAGTTACCGGAATTACAAACTCCCTCACGGTTTCAGAAAGTCACAGAGTAGACAGGGTTACATCCATCTGCTTCAAATATGTCAGATTTCATATCATATTACTCTTGTTAAAACTACTTATACTTTTGCTGGAAGCATGCATTTATCGTAACCGCATATAAAATATCTCGTTTCAAATGTGGAGACAAAACTAGTGTGCACAATTACATGTCTATAAATATAACTATAGTTACTTCCAGAATGATGAAACAAATTATATATGACGAAATATAGTATTATTTGATTGAAGAAAAACTTGTGACCAATTCGCAACATGTTCACATTAAATCTAGATCTTTCATGACGCACATCGTGTGGGACCAGAGATCACTTACTTGTATGCCTGAATTTTTTCCTGTCACTGACACACTCTTCATCAACTTCATTGACTACGAAAAAGCATTTGACAGCGTGGACAGAATAACCCTATGGAAGCTTCTTCGACACTACAGTGTGCCTGAAAAGATAGTAAATATCATGCGGAATTCCTATGATGGATTAAACTGCAAAATCGTGCATGGAGGACAGTTGAAAAACTCCTTCAAAGTAAAGACCGGTATCAGGCAAGTTGCTTATTCTCACCCTTTATCTTCCTCCTAAGGATCGACTGGATCATGAAGACGTCAACATCTGAAGGGAAGCACGGGATACAGTGGACAACTAGGATGTAGTTGGATGATCTAGACTCCGCAGATGATCTGGCTCTTCTATCGCAAACGCAACAACAAATCCAGGAGAAGACGACCAGTGTAGCAGCAACCTAACACTCCTAAATGTGAATGGATTCATGATAATACTCGTACTTCGCTATAAGTAGTAAGAAGCTATTCAATTTTTGTTTGGCAATAGACTTCAACGTCAGATATTCCTACAAGTCGTCTTTTCAGAGCAGGTCACAATCCAGATACCTAAGTGACGCTAATTTCTGAATTGCATACTGTATAATCTTAACAACAATACACGTATTTTATTACATAAAAGATGTGTCCGACCGCTACTAGAATACTGTACTTTTATTTTGAGTGATTTTTGTGTTAAAGAGGAACTTGAACTATAATTTATCCAGTATCACTTTACACTTCGTATTCTTGGAAGTGTTTGTAATTCAGACTAAAAGTCCAGGTGAACTGAAACAAGACTTCAGCCTTTATGGAGGCGGCAACTTAGACTAAATCTAATCTTTTTCTTCGAGATAATACCTAAACTATCTTTTACATGCATTGATATAATCCAGTATGCATATTCACTAAATCATAGCATCCTTGGCCCTCCATAGAAAATGGAGTTGTTTCACTATAAATCTACTCTATATGTGAATAAATTTACAAGTTTTCGAGAATCTGAGAGTTTCCCATAAACTATCATTAAAACAAATTCACCACCATTGTCTTCACAAAACATTATAATTTCATATCCTTCGATACTATGTTAAGAATTCTTACAAAATATAAAGTCCTACTCTTCCTATCAAGAACATATTAGTTCCTATCTGCTGCATCCTATGTGATATCTAACATGACGCTGTAGCTAAACCACATTCTTTAAGAATTTGTTTTCGTACATTAATTATTAAAGACAACTCAGTGATAGACGGATTGATGACTGTTACAATATACATTACTTGCTTCGATCTGGGCACCCGGGCAGTATAACAGCCTACACACAAATAAAATGAAAATTTGTGTGGCGCATATATATTTGATGCCCCCTTGTACCAATACATGTGTTCAAATAAATAAATAAATAAACAATATACATTTCAATAACAATGTTGCACTTTAATGTTTTTATCTGTGATCATTTGTTTTGCCTGCATTATATACTGCACAATTTCAAAACCTTGGTGATAAATGACCAATCAAAATAATTTATGAATCATGCCTTTTCAATATCTATATATATAACTACAGTCACACAATTAAACGTATCTATCGATGAATGAAACTATATAAGCATGCACAGTAAAGATACAGTTCAATTGATGCATTACGTATTCATAAAAGGTGATTCAAATCATAAATATCGATACCTGAAAAGATTTGGTAGTAGAAAGAAAATTACAACTACAGGATATCTTTGACATGGGACAATCTACCGTTCCAGTTAACATCAATTGAATTACAGGTTTAAGTAGGTTAAGATCATATACTTGTGGAGAATTTCGCTTGATGGTTACACTATTCAATTTTAAAAGACAAACCAAATAAATCAGTAAACACGGAAAACAGTTCTGAAAACTACATATTTTAAACAGCAGCTTGAACAGTTATAGCATCAATATGATAATAATCATGAAAATAGAAAACTGAATTTAAAATATATATATATATATATATATATATATATATATATATATAAGATTGCAGGAAAAATTGTTAATGTATAGAGGCAACGTACACTGAGCAATTTTTACTTATCTAATTATGCTAAGCTTAAAACTTACAGTGGTAAACAATGATTAAATGACTCCCTTAGTTCATATATATTCACTTTGAATCAACACTAATCTACAACAAACCATTTGATATTTAGTTCGAAGACGTAAAATAGTAAACTAACTATAAAGTTTATTTGTCATCGCAGTCACTGAACACTTAAGTGTATCAGTAGACGGTAACATAGGAAATTTAAACAAAAGTCATTTTGTACACTTACTGGATGACTGAAAAATGTTTATTGCGTATTTAAGTCTACTTGTTTCGAAGAAACAAATATCCAGGGGAAACGAAAGTTGCACGCCTCAAGAATGTAAGATAGCAATAAGATTCTAACGGTTGGGAATAAGAACGAAGTCGAACAGAAACAATAAATTAACAATACCACTTCTATTTGAGATCGTGTTCATACCAATAAACTTTTTGTAGTTCATTAGTCAGGAAATTCAACTTTCAACCACTACCATACTGGCTCCAACACCGATTTAATTACTTTGATCTGAACAGTCAAGTGGTAACATTAGTCATCACAAAAACACCTCAAAATGGAGTATATAAACCTTTACTTGATTATTAAGTCAAAAATTAAAGGGCATACCTACTCAGTTTTAAACACCTACTATAAATTATTCATTTTTAAGAAAATTATCTAGAACCATAAGCCCAAGTATTACTGGGTGTACTGTTATTCGAAAAAACTCAATTCTTTCTCAATGAATGACCGGTTCAAAACTAACTACTTTTATTTGAGTGCCCAAATAATGTAGCCAGCATTTACAAGGTATATTTGGCTAGCGCACTTTGTATGCAAATAGTTATAAATACAAAACACGAACCTAAAATGACTTTCATGCAGGTATTCGTTTAAAACCATAATGAACGTAGTTCAGCCTAAAACATTTTATTCAAGGTTTCCGAATTAAGACAGATTATCTTATTAAACTAACCTTTGTTCGAAAATAGACTTTATAATATCACAAGCCGCATTAGATGTGCAATTGTATCCAATACCCAATAAAAGACTCCACATAAGAAATGAATCGTAATTAAAAACCTTCGATTAAAACAAAAACATTAGAACAAGTTGATGGGAAATTACTACGACCTTTCCTCAAATGTATGGTTTTATATTAAAATACACAGAACTTGTATGATTTTTCAGAAACGACCTAGCACGTTAGTAAGAGCTCAACAACAAGTGAGACTCCATAAATTACAACTCCGTCTAATGAAATTCATATTTTTCTAACAATTAGTTGAAATGAAAGGGTATCAATAATAACAAATGCATTGAGACGAGGAATAACCAGTTTTTCAAACCAAAACAACAATACGAACAAAACGGTCGAAAATAATCATTACGGAGAGATACTAACTGCCTCTAATGAAAGTGACCGTTTGAGTACACTTAATAAATGTAGATATAATTGATTTACACACACATTCCCCTAGGTTTAATAATACTACTGGACTACTCAAAATAAGTGGGGTGAAGAAACGTTTGGGTCCGTGGCCCACCAGTTGATAACCAAGTCTTCTAACTACTGATAAACCATTTTGACTGTAGTTGACATGCACCTAGAATTCAGTTAGCTTTTAATACAAATGAAAACAAAATAGAAGATGGATTATATTCATGTTTTCAACGCTTTCCATCTTGTACTCTTACCAAAAATAAGAAGTAACTAATAACTTCTTTTGAATACATTTGTTTGTGATGATCGCGTCATGATTTCTCTGCATTTACTTATACATTTTTTCCTAAAAAACCCGTCAATTTCAGCTCTTTTCAGCCTCATATTAAAGCATACGAGTAGAGGGCTGGTAATTTCATTTAAAACATATGTTTTCAACGTGTTTTCCAACGTGGTAAATTTCTTTTACAAACGGAACAAAACATAAGAATGTAGACTAAATTATTCAAAGTTTTACTAATCGGTGTACATATCAACACTGTAAATGACTTACACAAAAGGATATTTTACAGGCAATATTATTGTTATTCGTATGACTGAAAGCTAAACGAATATACACTTTCAGTAGTTTCACTAAACTTTGTCTGTAGATAGAATAAACTCTTGGTGACATGGCCCAGAATCTGTCACAATGGTGTCGGTGTATACACTCTCTCTCTCTTCCTTTAAACTAATAGATTAAAATCGCTTCATATCTTTCTTTCTACCAACTAATTCTTTCTTCCTGTACTATCTCCTTATATGAAATCCTTCTTTTATATATTACCACCAATGAATTAACCATTTCTATGAATCCGGTATTCATCCTGTTGTGCTAATATGGCATTGCAACTTGGGCCGATGCATATATGTGCCTGGTCCTACGTTGCAGCTGACTGACTGATTTGTGTTGATACGAAACAACCGATATGTACTTAAGATACTGTATTGATGTGTCAAAGTAGATATATTTCTCATAGCTATCATCTTGAAGATAAATGTCACAGATATTGAAGACAACTAAATCATTTTTAGGAAAACCAATGATTTTATGCAGATACACGAAATAATAGTTTTAAAAACTACAATATTTTACCTCAACAAGTCCTAAGCACCTTACAACGGAAAGTAAGCAATAAATTGAATTTTTAGGTAACTTGAAGTGCCTCGTTACATTCAAAGAATGACATGGGATAATATCGTTTACAAATGCTTTAGAAGCCGATAAAAATTCGGAATCTTTCTTGTTTAATGTCAAAATTATGCCAAGAATATGTAGGAAAAACTCCTGAACTGACTTTTCTACAATCCCATTAGATGATCCAGCGTGTAGATAAACGGATCTACAAATTACCTTTGCGCATTTAGTAGAAGAATGATCGAAACCCTGGATACAAGAAAAGACGTTGGAGTAATATACACCACTTACCGATAAAAAGAGAAAAACACAAATAAGAAAATACATTGTTTATTGTAAATGTTGTAAAACAAAGGTTACAATAGAGAAGTCTGAACTACTACCATTACATATACTATACCTCTAATACGGGTAATATGAAACTTTATCTTGTTTAACATCGTGTGGCGCATATATATTTGGTGCCCCCCTGTACCAATATTTATGTGTTCAAATAAATAAATAAATAAAATAACATCTTTAAGACTGTAGTACCCTATATGCATAGTGGCACTAGTTTCATGTCGCCCGCTTTATCTTCATAAATAGAATAAAACGAATGAATGCAACAAAACCTAAGTAGTTTAAAGTCTGAATTTTAAACTAATTGTACGTTGAAAAGCCATAAAGTCAAACAATTATTTGGTCATCAAACTTCTAAAAATACTTCAGGGGTAATTTCTTAACGACAACAATCTTATACAACAAAAGGTAGATCTAAGTTGCGCAACAAAAATAGTTGATGTACACATTAATCTTACAATGATCAATCACACCTCTTACGATTTCATTAGAATGCATGTACGGAGTAGACCTGGTAGTACACAAGTTGTGGGCCATGTAAAGTGGAAGAATCTTAGCAGAGGAATAATTTCAAATCCTATACGTGCCTGGTCCTACGTTGCAGCTGACTGACTGAACTCAAAGTAGGGACCAATCTGAAGAAACTTATGGTTTCCAATCAATCATTACTCTCCTAATGCTGATTACAATTTTGTTATTTAGTCGGACATAATTGATGAAGATTCCAATAAAAATGTGTCATTCCAAGCTTTCAATCTAAGACCAGTGCAATGAGATGAAGTTAAGAAGAGTAGCAAAGGAGTTAATTATCACTTTTATACCTCCTAGTAATAATCATATAGCTCCAGAGGAAACACTGCTTCCGTTCGAACAAACAAAGATAACTGTTAAGCAATATGTTAGGATGTGAAGAAAACTCAGAAGCCAAAAAGTCATATTTCGTTATTAAATCAAATATACTAACCTTGGTTAGAATATTCAGAAATATAAATGAACACCACACCTTAGCTAGAGAGATGCTTTGCAATAAAACACTGGTGGAATATTTTTTAAGCCGGTCAATGATGAAATGACTGATTGAGGAGCAGATGGATGAAGAGTTAAAAGTCAAATTGTTTGACATGATGTATTCAATCACACCGAACAAGCAAACTATTTGAAGCTGCTCAGCGACCAGACCTGAAAATCTATATAAGTAGAATGAGGTAGGTATTACCTTCTATTCTGGTATCCTCAAATCCTGCTAAAGTGAATAACATGTAAATATCTACACAGGAAACTTAGCAAAAAGTAGTATACAGACCATTAAGGACCAGAGAAGTTAGTTCTGTCAAACTTATGTCGTGGAAACGCCTGACGAAGTAATCAATTATAAACCTCCCAAGAGATAGCTTTTCTTTAGAAGGTTTCTGAAATAATAAATTTGATCACAAATAAGAACCACATACGCATTCGAGTAAGAACTTTATAAGTTCGTGGAAGTCAAGTGACTTACCATCATCTTTCGACAGATAAAACTTTAGCTCCTATAAGCCACTATAGCGCAGAAAATAATGAAACATACGTTGATCTTCCTGAGTTCATTCATATCACCAATTTTGATGAGACAATAAAAGATGTTACAGGTTCTCGAGAGCAAGTTCAGTCTTTAGCTGGGAACAATTTATACTCGAACCTATTTTGCGTACAGTATATGTAGGATTCGAGGATGACTTTCTAATAACTCCCATACATTGTCACAGGAGCTATTTGGGAGACGTGATATCTTACGCAAAAAGGACGAAGTAGCGCATGTAGTCGTATCTTTATTCGTTAAGCTCAAGGATTTTCACTTGTCAATTTTCACCTAACAGACTTGGTCAACAAAATGTTCAAATCTACTTCCAAAACTTTAAAGTTTTTTCTGTGTGTAGAAATACCACTATCTTTCTCTTGAAGATAAAGTGTTGTTTCCTTTATGAATACTGTACTTGAAAAATTCACTCAACAGTGTTTAACTGCTAAAGATAATCCTGTGATGTTTGGCGTTTGTTAAGTTTTTGGCAAGCTTGAAGGCACCTTATGAGCTGTGAGAGTTTAAGGGGCTGTAAGATCATCTGCAGGAAAAAAGAACAAGAGAAAGGGTTAACCGACGATTCAATAAGTTCTCATATTTAATAACGAAAGCATTCAACAATGATCAGAAATAACACGAGTGTGAAGCCGGTGTAGTCTGGTGATCAGGCAAGTTGTTGATAGTGTTAGATCGAGAATGTGCTACGATTTTACTACCCGTAAAAACCATCAATTTTTCGACCTTGTCATTGCGACTAAGAAAGTTATGGTAACTACGATCTAACGTGGTCTGTGGGGTTGTCTTAAATGAACAAATGTCTTTCGAAAGGAAAATTCGCATATTACAAATATGTTACTCATGACAGAATGATAGACTTTTATTCATCATTAATGCAACGTTCAGGTCTATCTTGTAAGATTTTCTTTTTATCGAGTTCCTTTAATAGGGTCACTGTTTGTAGATCATTATCATAGGTGACATGTGTCGAATGATTGAGAGCTTACTCGAGTTAGAGGGCAATGTTGTGACGAACCAGATAATTTCGGAGTCACACCTCGTGGTCAGCAGCTAACATTAACTACTGTTTCGTTGCACCAAGGTACTCAAGCTGCTCTGAAGACGGTATAATACAAACGACGTTACTACAGCAACATATATGTACAAAGAACAGAGTGCGAACACCACCGCATGGGCCAGTTGATGGCGTGCAACCAACTAGTACGTGTTGTCGTGCTTGACCTTGACGAGGATCAATAAGCTGTTTGACATTCAGTGACCCGACTGCCACATGATTTGGCTAAAGTGCAGTGACATTTCCTTGGCCCTACATGTTCTTTAAAAGCGAACTCAAAGGGGACTACCTTAATTATACTTGTGTCCAGGAAAAAGTTCTACTGGGAATAATTAACCTGAGGCCTGCTCATTACAAGAGGAACGAGAGGATATTATCATGATGTGTCTTACTGCTTATAGTCACATCCATACTACCAGGTCTCTAATGTGACAAAGATGACTAGTCTTAAGAAACCAACAGTCAACTATTTCCATTAAACAATATTTTAAGTTCCGTGATGTTGTAGAATCAGTATGTAGTTGATCTAACGAGCTCCACTGATTGTACATCATTACGGGAGGATCATTTATATTATCGTTGGTTTTAACTAACACAAGTCAAGTGCCCTAAAAATATCTACGAAATTTATATTCACTTATAGGAGATTAGCTTCTCAGAACAAATTAGATAAACCTCAAAATGTGGCTAACAACAGTGGGCTAACATGCAGTTCCCAAATCGTAGGGGACCAATAGCATTATATGCAGTTTGAGAAACTGCTAGTTATAAGCGTCACCGGTATAAAAGATACGAACGAATTAGTTTCTCACTGTCTCAAACCTAGGTTGAATGTGACAAAACTACTCCTCTAAACAATTTGCCGACCTCGTAGTTTTTAAGTTTCTGAATTATTCTGCTACATGTGTAGTCATTCGGAACAAATAGTGTCTTTCATACAATCATGAGGGCCTTGTTGTCCTTAATATAGTAAATGCATAAAACCTGAAGGTAGACTACTAGGAGTCAACTGATAACGTGCTATTAAAATGTTAAGGGTCGTTTCCTCAATTCGTCTGTTTATTATATTCCCCATCATCCTCTATTGGATGATGAAAATTCACATGTGCTCGATGTAGGTTTGAATTGGGTCCATATCTACACACTTTTATCCAATAAACGTTGTGAATAGACAGTAAAAGTCTTTTCCTGACCTTACGCACTAACGCGAGAATAGGGGTGTGGACTTAAAGACATGTGAGTCCACGTTTTAAGTAGAAGATTTTTATGCTAACCCTGAAGCCAGACTTCTGCGTGTTTGTATGATTTTCTATTTACTTTTTAGAAATACGGAAATATTTTTACTTGATGTCGTTAACGCTAACATCTTTCTTCATGGTTATTGTGTTAGTATATGTGTTGTAGACCTCAGCATGTTCAACTTCATTCATTAAAATGATCAGGATGCTAAACATATTTCATCTCCGTCAGAAATGTCAACAGTCGTTACCACAAAACCTGCAATTTCTAGATTCAACTGAAGTGGCTCTGTATTGTGATCCTCTCACATGAAACACTTTTGCTAAGAATAAAATTCGATCTGAGAGGATTCAAAAACGAAATCTGTATACCATTCCGCCCCTAGGAGTTTTAAAAATAGGGTTCACGATTTGCCTCTAAACCCCCTTCATCACGTTGTAAAATTTCGGTTTCCGTGATGTTTAAGGACGATTCACAAGTCACTTAATGCAATGACAAACAAACATGAACCACATAGTTTGCT